ACAACATTTGGTGTCGGAAAATAAATAGGAATTACTAATTCCTAAGGTAGGTGGTCATCTCATGAGATTTGAACTCATTCCCTTTTAACAACGGAACTATTATTGATGTACTATAAAAAAAATAAAAAAAAAGGAGAAAAGTGAATGGTGGTAATTAAAATTATAAAACATAAAAAATAAAAACTAGAAGTATATATATATTTTTTAATAAAACTGTTAAAAGTATACAAGGGAAAATGGCTAGGGACAATGATTCCCTCCACATTGTTCTATTTGGAATAAGCCTTCGTAGTTTTATTTTTGGTATTACTTAAAATCATCGTGTTAATAAAAATGATAATTTTAATTTAGTGTGCGTTTGATTAGTGATCTAAAAACAATGGATTCAGCAAAAAATAAAGTTGCATTTTATGTTTTCAATGTCTTCGAACCTATGTTTTGTAGCAAATTTAAGAATTAAATCTCAATTTATATATTCGTAAACAAGGGGTAGTTACCCATTGTCCATCTAAAATAATATTAGTTAATTTATTAGCATATATGTTATGGATTTTGTAGATTTATTAATTTACAATATCATATAATTTTTTTAGTACAACATATGAGGTGGGAGATAAAACTCATGGTTGAAGATATATGTCAATTATCGTTGAGCTATGCTCACTTTATCAATATTATATAATTTATAAAATCTCACATAAACGATTGAGTTTGTAACATTAAAATAAATATTTATCAAATTTTTTAATATATTTCTAAATCTAAAAATAACATAATAAAAAAATAAAAAAATAGTTTTGGGATTGCATACCGAATAGGTCATTATTTATCCAAAATCATTGATTTTTTCTAATCAATATGGGACTTCTGATCACAATCCCAACAAAAATAATCAAAACTTTGTGCTTAGTTTAGATAATCAATTTCGGAGTTTTAATTTCCTGTCTGCCATCCATATTTCATGATTCTCTAATAGAATTAAGAAGAACGTATGACAATCTAATTTTATTGGCTATCTTCGAGACAATCAACAGTTTTAGACTTGACAGCCATCAAATAACAACGAACACAGTTAAAAGGAAAACAAAATATAGAAATTAAGAGTCAATTACATGAAAAACACCTCAATCCAAAGGGCATAAATCACACAACAAATTCATAAGAAATTTCACTATGCAAGTACAGTAATAAGAACTTTCCTATAATTTAATCACGACCAAAGCATTAATAATAACCCAAAATCTCTTTAGAAGAAATTATCGTGGCTGATTAAAAAATTGGTATAAAAATGCTATTCACCTGCCATAATTAGTTATTTAACTAAGTATTTTATAAGTTATGAACTATTAATGGTGCGTCTAATAAATTTTTCAATTTTAGAAAAATATTTAATAAGTTTATAAACTATTATTTTGTATCTAATAAAATCTTAAACTTAAAAAAATGTATTTAAAATGGAAGCGATAATTTCCCCTTTCCAATCAATTAAAAAGAGAGACACGAAAACAATATATCTAAAGAATCTCTCTAGTTTCAATGTGAGCATGTCAATAAACTCCATCCGAAAACAATGACGATACGTTGAGTCGAAATAAAAAAGTGAGTCATGATTGATGAGACATGTTTTTTTAATTTTCTTTTAGTATAATATATTTGGTAGTTAATTCAAACTCATAACAATGTAATCGGGGTATGTTTTTTAAAATTTTAGATACAACATTAAAAGTTTATATTTATCATATACATAATTAATTTTTATACATATTGTTAGAAAAAATATTTAGATACTAACATTAAAAGTTTATATTTATCATATACATAATTAGTTTGTATATATATTGTTATAGAAAAATAAAAATAAAAATAAAAGTCAAAGGGAATCGAGTCCCGTCATCGTCCTTATCCGTAAGGTACACGTCCTAGAAACTGAAGAAAGAGGAAACTGAGCAGTTTAAAAATTTTTTAGATGTGATTATTCGAAACACGGCACTACGGCCAAAAACCCTGGATTCTCGCCGACGGGACCATCGGTAGATCAACAACCGTTCGAATGTTTGACTTTGACTCCAACCCACACGTGGCGCCTTCCCAACGGCTTATCCCAGAGCCGCTTTTATTGTAAACTCTCTAGTGGAGAGCTTCCCATCAATCCTCTTCCTACATTATCATAATCACTTTTAGAAGCTTGTTTTTCTCCTTTTTAACTTCTTCCTATGTTTTGATTCCTTCTAAATTCGAAATTACTTGCCAACCTAAGACACTTATTTCCGATCGGAAGGTCCAAAAAGAATTCATAACAAAAATGATCAGTATTTTCATAGTTTAGATTTCCAAAAACGAGTTTTAAAAATAAATCCACCAAATAGATATTCGTAGAATCTAGATTACATATCAAACGAGTCTTACACACTGTATTAATTATTGGGAGAGATTTAATTTGAAGGGCTATTTAGACTTGTTTGGTAAGGTTCCTTTTCTTATAATTGCATGGGACTTTCAATACCCATGAATTTAAAGATGATCAGACAATATTTATATTTATGTTTTGTAACAAATTGAAAATGGAAACAACAAACAACAAACTTGTTTGGATTGTTTCTGAAATTTCTATACAATTCTGAAAATGTTATCGAAAAATGACAAATAAGAAACATAATTAGTTGTAAGATGCTTAGGTTTCTTAATAAAATAGGAAACGAGAACATCAAATGGGCCATTAATGGATCGGATCAATGGATTTGGTTAGTTGGAACTTGGAAGATTGGTTAAGCCCACAAAACTCGAGCATGTGGCTTCCCTTAAGCTGAATCGGATAATTGGGCCTCGAGTCCAATGATAGGCCGTGGATAGTCCAAGGCCCAAACCTAGTCAACTAACTGATTAGGAGATTTCATATGGACTTTAAGAAGACAAGGCCCAGCCCAAAATGGAAGCCTGCCTAGCGTTGTAAACAGAGGATAAAATTAGACATTTGACCCACTCTTAAGAGATCAATATACTAAGTTATCAATTTTATAATGTTCCAATGAGTAAATGGTGAATTACCAAGTTTAATTTAAATGTTTTTACCTTTCAAAAAAAAAAATTTAAATGTTTTTAACAAAATAAAATGTTAATGGAAATAAAATAAAACATAGCTCAATTAGTTAAGACATCTATCTCCGACCAACAAGTCATAAGTTGAACTCCACGTGTTGTACTAAGAAAATAGAAAACGAAGGTAGTTCATGTGAGACAATACCTCGACATTATCTTCTTGTCAATCTATTTGGCTGAAAGAATAATAATCTGAAACAGTGGTCAATGCCATTAAAGTTCACCAATAATCTCCACAAGAGCATTGGGCCACCCTTGAAGCAGTGAAATCTGTGGAAATCTCTAACAGTAATCTTCCTTGAAGCATTGGCTCACCTTCTCTAGTAGACATCGCCAAATGCAACAGCTAAATTCTCATTCCTTCGGTGATATTCTTCGAGGCAGAGCCGACGTCCAATACGACCGAGTCAAACAAGCTTTCTTAAGTTCCGTTCCCATTCTTTGGTAGAATCAACCTGCTTATCTTCAAGTCAATTCCTAGACTCCATAACAATGTGCCGCGATTAACGATTACCTTAAAGAGCCATTGAAATCTTGTCGTAGATATTGTTGAATATCTAGAGTATCTTTTGTTTTGCAGGTTCCCTGCGTGATACATCTCCAATTTGTTTTCCAACTCATCCTCTATTCAAGTCGAGGTTCGCTGACTTGATCTACTTCTTGATCAAACATAAAGTTTTGACATAATTACTATTAAATATTGTTTTCGAACTTTAAAATATATGTGCCAAACTTTTTCTTCCTTTTTAAAATATGACATTAGTATGATTTTACGTATATAAAATTTTAATTTGATTTAATGCTATTTATGTTCTATCTTTATCTAGAGAGAAGTAGCAAAATGGTTCAAACCATCCTCGTTTCATTTTTTTTTTATTGAATGATTATATTCTTTGTATAAAACAAATGAAAATTCTAATGAATGACAACTTAGGTTAACATAAGTATAAAATTATAACTTTTAAAATTTTGTTGCCAGTCTATTTAAACATTATTTTATCATCATTATATATCACTCATTAACGTCTACAAACAAAAGATAGGCTATATCACCGATAGATTAAATAAACAATAAATGTTTATCCACCATGTAGTCCATCGTTTTGATAGAAATTTCAAGACCATTAAAAAAAAAATTATAAACGAGTTTAGGTTGGACCGTTTGTTCTGTTTTTCTATATTTGTTATTTCAAAAAATTGTTCTTTTATATTTGTAATTAATCGACAAAATTTTATTTTGATCTCTATAATATTGTTCGTTGGGAATAAGAAAGGAAAAAATATTTGTAGAAAATTGTTATGATTTTGGAAACTTTTCCTTAAATATTTATTGAAATTTAATAATTGTTTTATAATTAAACGTTGATTATTTATAAGAATGATAACGTTTATAAATTAATTGTATGCATTAATAATTTTTAATTTACTTTTATAACAATTTTCTTAGTCTCCCCAAATATATGGGTCTATGATTAGGAGGAAAATGATAGTAGGGAATTAGATAAGAGTTTTTTTCATAAATTTCTATCACTTTCTCTCTCGATTTTTAAAGAAAAATCATGGACTAGTTTTTCAATTCCAATTTCGAATTTACACTCGTGGAATGTTGTGTTAAATTGTTTTCAAGACAGTAAATTCTTCAACGATGCTTTGCTATGATTTCTATTCTCATTCCTACATTCTTCAACCAAACAAAACACGTACCTGAACTTCAATATGAATATAATTATATATGCATGAACGGTTGATATAATATATAGTTAAAAATTTCTGTTCCCACCCCATCGACACTTGGCTACACCCACATAACAGGTGTTTCTCACAAGTCACACCCACTTCCCCTCTCTCCACACCCACCTATATATATAATATATCAATTAATATAATACCCATTTCCGGTTTTCCCCACATTATTTAAATTTTCTCTTCATCCACCTGCCGCAATTACCAAAATGCCCTCTCCCTTCGCGGCCTTTCTTCTCCTCCTCCTAGCCGTGGCTTCCTCAATTTCGTCATTCCACGACCCAGACCGGGAGGTTCAGTTGGCCCGGACCATAGTTATGGAGGCCAGAGACTCGGTCCGAGGCTCCGTGACCGGGACAGGTGAGTTAAAACGACGCCGCTTTGAACGGCGGAATTTTGTTGAGGCCGCGCTCGGTTATTGCACCAGGCTTTACGAGGAGGCCGACGCGCGGCTGGCGGAGCTGCTGTTCGGAGGAAATTATACGGCGGAAGATGCTCGGACGTGGATCAGCGCCGCCGTGGCTAATCATCGGAGTTGTACGGACGGCCTGGAAGAGGTCGGAGCTGCGGCGGATAGGAAGAATAATTTGACTGCGTTACTCGCCGGAGCTCTGCGTTTATACGAGAAAATCGCCGCCGTGGAGGAGCGTAATGGTGACCACACGTACTTCCGACGTTGCATTCATTCGGATATTCGAAGTTATTAGTTTTCTATTTAAATATATCACTGAAAATCGTTTTTTTTTTTTTCTTTTTTGTTTCGTTTCGTATCTTTATTCGTGGTCGTCTTAATGTTCAAAATTAATTGTTTTCTATGTTTTTAGTCTACTAATAATAAATATGGTACTAAAAAAATACCTGAAAATATTTGACTCCTGTCTTTACAAAATTGACCAACTTATTATTATTTTCAGACAATTCACTATTATTTTCTTTGAGTATTTAGGTTTGGATTTCTCTCTTTTACCTATCAAATATTTAGGGACAAGAACCATCTAAAATCTAAAATGTGATCGAATATTTAGGGATAAAGAACAATCTAAAAAAGTATCCATCTTGCTGTTAGGTTTACTAGAATTTTCACTTTTAAAATTGAAGTTTTGCAAACATTTTGTGAAGCATTGATAAACTATCCTTCCCAAAGCTTAAAATTGGCTTAAATTGATGGGTTGATAAATTGAATTCAATATATCTCAATTGATGGGTTGGGTATATATAAATATTTTATAAAATATATTATAAAAATTGCACAACGATAAGAACTCATTTAATAATGATGTGATTTATATGTTTACTACATTGGTGATAAAATAAAGTATATTAACACTTTATCTATAGATGATGTGTCTATAGATTTATGTATTGTATAAATCATACATAAAGCGTAAGTCAATTAGTTATTTAAGCATTTGTCGGTAAGATTGTAAGTTCCAATTYTCACACCTACTTAAGTGTGAGTGAGTGTGATAGATAAGCATATGTATTTGAATGAGTGTGATGGATAAGCATGTATTTTTCTACTTATTTAGCAACTAGTTTACCCTTAAAATATAAAAAATAAAAAATAAAATAAAATATCCTTATAAGAATTAAGTTGTCACCTAATTAGCCCAATGAGCATAGTCAATTCAAATACATATTTCTGAACAAAAAGTCACGCGATTCAACTCTCCCAATACATATTTCTGAACAAAAAGTCACGCGATTCAACTCTCCCAACATGTTGTATCTCATGAAAAAAAGTTGTCGCCTAATTGTATTTTTCTCACGTCTCAATGTATTTATTTAAAAGATACATATGGACTTTTGAATTCAGGATTGAAACGATGGGAGGAGCAGAAATTGACGAAAAATAGAGGAATCGACTTGGCGAAATGGAATCCGGCGACGTCGAAGGCGGACTATGTGGTGGCGATGGACGGCTCCGGCACACACAGAACCATAAACGACGCGGTGGCGGCTCTGGCGAGGAGTGGCCGGAGACGGCGGTCGGAGCGAGTGGTGATTTACGTGAAAGCCGGAGTTTACAGGGAGAACGTGGAAATCGGGATGCAATTGAAGAATGTGTTTATTGTCGGCGACGGCGCCGACAGAACCACCATCACCGGCAGCCGCAACGTGCCGGACGGCGCCACCACTTACAGCTCAGCAACATTTGGTGAGGCGAAACGTATTTATCACAAAACAATAAAATATTATTTAATAATATTGAAAATAATAATAAAATATATAAAGGTTTATGGAGGCATTTAAAATTAATGAAGCTTACAAAATTAACTTTGATGAAACTTTGGTATGAGCAGGCGTCTCCGGCGACGGATTTTGGGCAAGGGACATCACATTCGAGAACACCGCCGGGCCGGAAAAGCACCAGGCGGTGGCGCTGCGGGTAAATTCCGACCTCGCCGTCGTCTACCGCTGCACAATCAAAGGCTACCAGGACTCCCTCCGCCAATTCTACCGCGACTGCCGCATATACGGCACCGTCGATTTCATCTTCGGAAACTCCGCCGCCGTCCTCCAGAACTGCGAAATCTTCGTCCGGCGGCCGATGCGCCACCAAGCCAACATGATCACCGCCCATGGCCGCGACGATCCGGCGGAGAACACCGGAATTTCGATCCACGGCTCGCGAGTCAGGGCGGCACCGGAATTCGCCGCCGTACAGGGCGAATTCAGAACGTTCCTCGGCCGGCCGTGGAAGCGGTACTCGAGGACGGTGGTTATGGCGACGGATCTGGAGGGATTGATCGATCCGCGTGGGTGGGGAGAATGGGAAGGGGATTTTCCTCTGTCGACTCTGTTTTATGGTGAATATAAGAACACCGGCCGCGGTTCTTCCACTCGATTTAGGGTTAATTGGCCCGGATTTCACATTTTTCGGGGCGATCTGGAGGCCGGAAGGTTTACGGTCGGCGGTTTTCTCCACGGCCGCGATTGGATTCCGGTGACCGGAGTGCCCTTCCAGGCAGGAATTCGAGCTCTTGGTCCTCTGCTTGAAAATATATATATATACACGTGGAATTTGAATAGCGATAAAAATCATAATGAGAGGGACTAAATAAATAATGAAATTAAAAATAAAAATATATAAAGCACGCCCAGTGGGACTCGAACCCACAATCGCCTGATTAGAAGTCAGACGCCTTATCCATTAGGCCATGGGCGCTGTTTGAAACAACAACCATTTATATTTTATATATTATAATTATGTAATTTTCCATTATATCTTATAAAAATAGACAAAATATAAGAAAAATAAAATATGTAGTTAATAAGGAAATAGTATTAACAATTATAATTTTTAACTTCAAAGGTTTATTTGTTGACTTTGATTCTTTAATTTGTTATAATTATTTATTGATATTGACATTTTATTTGAGATATTTATCCACGTTTTCATAAATGCGAGACTAATATTTTAGTTGATATAATACTTAAGTTTTAAAGCACCATGCTTCCTAACGAAATCAATATATATACATATTTATATATTTTTTGAGATTTCTTCTTTCTTTCTATTTAAAGCTGTGAGAGTTATAGTGATGTCAAATGTCATATGGATGAATATAATTATGCACGACCTACCGGCAACACCGGAGAGAACAATTCGAACTGAGGCAATCTTTCCTCTCCAAGTCGGATCGAATATTTACTAGATGAACGAAAACGTGCAAAAGCTCACGTGCATGTTGTATAACCATAAATATTTCAAATTGTTACGCGAATCATTGAAGTACAAAGTTAAATATTTTACCATATTAAGATTATTGTTTGTTATTAAATTTTGTAAAAGGAAACAAAAGTGTTGTTCTCGTTTTTTTATATATAAATAAAAGGAAGCTGTGGATCAATAATTATGCACGTGAGTGTTGTATAAGCAAGTAAGCATAAATATTATGCGAACCAATTGAATTAAATTATATAAGTAAACATTTTACAGATTTTTGTTGTTAAGTGTTGTGCGCTATGTGTTTATATTACACGGATCAAATTAAATTACGTATGTGCATGTATAAATGTAACGAAGAAGTTAAAAATTAAATTGTGTAGGTAAACATTTTCTGTATCAATTTTTATTATTAAAATTTGAGAAAAAAACAAAACAAAACAAAAACATTCTTAATTTTGTATTTTTACAAATAAAACGAATTGGTTTACATAATTGGATGCGTGTTTTTATATTTGTACGAGCATAAATATATTTGAGAAATTATTAAATTTAATTACGTAGGTAAACATTTTACATATTCAACTTGTATTAATTTTTTAAAAATAAAACAAAAATATCATTCTTATTTAAAAAGAAAAAATAAAACGAAGTTACTAGTTAAAACAAGGAGAAAAGGGAAAATTTAAATTACGTAGGTAAACATTTTAACCTATTAAACTTCCTTTTATTATTAAAATTTGAAAAGGAAATTAAAAAAATGATTCTAATTTTTGAAATAAACGAAGTGTTCTACAAGTTCAGTAAAAATAAAATAAGGGAAAAAAATAAAATTATTTTTAAATAAAACGAAGTGTTGTACAAGTAAAGTAAAATAAAATACGGAAAAAAGAGAGAAAATTATCCTAATTTTTTTAATTAAAACGAAGTGTTCTACAAGTTAAGTAAAAAATAAAATAACCAAAAAGATGAAAATCACGCGCCAGGTAGGGGTCGAACCTACGACTTTCTGCTTAGGAAACAGACGCTCTATCCTCTGAGCTACAGGCGCTTTGTTTGGTTGGCAATGGCGGCTTTATTATCTCATTACATATCTCAATAAGTGTGTTTGAGCATTCTTGAGCGAGCGATCGAGGGAGGCGAATACTTAAAACGAAACGGAACCACAGTCGATCAACTTTTCCAAAACCTTCCTCATATTTCCTTCGCACTGTTAGTTTCCGGCGGCCGAAGAAGGTGGTTTCCGTGCTACTGGGTCCGATGGCCGGCGGTTCAGATGCGGCCGAAACTGTTACCTTATCTTGCGTGCGATGCGGCAAACCTTCGCACCTTCAGTATGTGTTTTTTAATCTTCCTTTTCAAGTTTTTCCAGTAGCTATATTAGTTCACATGTTTGATTCGGTTCTGAATGTTAAAGGAATGCGAGTTGTTTTGTGTTCTGTGGATAAAGTTTAGTTGCTTAGTTTGGGGGAGGGAGTTGTGAATTTAGAATCAAGTTGATGGAACTTGGAAGATAGTTACTCCCTTTGCAAGTTTATTGTTCTTCTCTTTGGAGTTTCTTGGGCGGAATCTGAGACACGGAGAGATATGGAAGAAAATGAGAATATTGCTTTACTGGATTAGACTTTTGATTTGGGTGGAATTTGGTGACGAATATGCTATAAGAGCTCCCTTTTGTAGTTACCCCATGAGATTCCGACGTCGATGCTTACGATGAGTTTTAGTTGCTTTGATAGTTTCAAACTAATGGGAGTGCTCTTTGTAATTATTAATATTATTAATTTTATTGGGTAATTATTCATTAGTTTAATGTTAATGAGTGATGCTGTTAAAGCCCTCCTTTGAGAGCTTTGGTTGGAAAGACATCAAAAATATTTCAAGACATAGGGGTGGATTTTGAATCTTTGATTACCTTTGAGAAATGGTGATTTTGATGGAGTTCTTGTTTAATATATATATATTTTTTGGTTAAACCCCAATTTTTCGGTAAAAAAAAAAAGAATAAGAAAAGAAAGAAAAGAGCTCCAAAATGAGGCCGTAAAAACTATTACATCCCAGATATCCTTACAGTTTTGAATTTCTTAGGAAAAAACTCTGGTTTCTTTATCACTCAATGTTCCAGAAAAGGCATTTAACCGCATTGTTTGACTGCACCTTTCCCTCTAGCTTGAAGGGATTGCTAGCCAAAGATTGCTTCAAACTATGTTGAACTGGGAGAGGGGCAGATCAGTAAACAGCAAAGGTGTGTCAAGTGAAAACCACCACAGCTTTTGTGTCTTGATAGTTTTTCACGGTATTTCATTAATGGATTTTGATAATCTGGTGATTTATCATTGGTCCGTCTAACAATCCATATTTGCTTAGTGCGATAATGGTAATGATGAACAAAATATATAGTGTTAATATTTCAGGGTTTAAATCAAAATTTTGTTGTAAGAAATTATTTCCATAAATACTCTTTTGAAAGAAAAGGTTGGGAACTTACGATAATCTGATGAATTTGTTTGTTTCTAAGGTTGTAGTCGACTCATTCCTCGAGACCATCAAAACCTTTCAATTATTTAGTTCTTTCCTGATCAACTTATTTTGTTTCTAGGTGTCCGAAGTGTATGGAACTGAAGCTTCCTCGTGAAGGTGCTGCTTTCTGGTCTGTATTTATTTCCTTCTATTTATAGATATTTATCCTTCCTCCATCAAAGTTGAATTGGATATTAGATCAAAAAATGTGTCAGTTTTTTGTTCCATAATTTTTCTTCAAAAATTGTTGATGCATGTGCAATAAAAATGAAGCGGGTCGTAGACACCATTAGTGGAAGCTCAAACCTTCACAATCTATGAGTTTGAGAACTTGTGAATTGGAAGCTTATCATGCATTTTTTTACACATATAAGAACTTGTGCGTGTAAATTGTAATTGTATAACATTTGAAACTTGAACTAAAAGGTTGCTTATGCATGAAACATTTTTGTGTCAATTTATTGCACCCCGGGTACTGATTCATCAATATTGGAAAATAAAGAACCATTTGACTTGTATGGCATTGTATCCATATTAGGTTGCCCTTTGATCGGTTTAATATTGGCATCGTGTTGAAAGATTATATTTATGAAATTTCAAATTTCCTTTCTCAACAGCACTCAGGATTGTTTCAAGGCATCTTGGAGCACTCACAAATCGGTACATTTAAAAGCAAAACTGTCCTTGATAGGGACTGGTACTTCTGGGGAACAAAATTCAGATCTTGTGAGTGAAGGTTGGTTATATTGCTTGAAGAAAGGACAGGCAAGAACACCAAAACTTCCCCATTTTGATTGGACGGGGTAAGAATCAAATCTTTTGTCTTATCCTTGCGTCATATATCCCATCCATCTTTTTCTTGCTGGCCACTCACGTTAGTTCTTTTGTTTAATTGGATAATAATCTTTTTACCGCAACCTCTTCCTGTGGGCGTTCATCGTTTCCTTTTATCTTCCTATCTTATTTCTTTTCTTTTTTCCCTCCTATTTGCAAGACTTTGTTTACTCATGTGGCAATTAAACTTTATGTTTCGCAAAATCATAAAGCTTAAAGTCACACATGTATTTAATGTCCCAAAATTGGTAAAATGTGTTAAAGAGCTTGTTGCTTCACACATTATTCCAAAAAAGCTGTTGTATCACACCATCTTGGATCTTTCTTTCTTTTTGCCAAACTTACAATAACAAAGTAGTATTCTTGGGCTAGCTGTAAATGTATATTATGAGACCATTAGCATTCAACATGTGGTGCTTGAACAAGATTTAAACTTTGAGGCATTCTAGTGAATAAACCTATCATGTTGAGCTTCCGTCCGAAGATTATAATCTTGCATTGGCATACTGGTTTTACCTTTGAATTAAAATTGGTGGGAGGTTCCCTAAATGACCTCGATGATGGAAGACACCAAGACTGTCTCCCCATTTGTGTACAACGTTAATTAATATTATGGACTTGAAGATAGCATTAACAAATTACATTGCTATTTCGACATGTGACATATTTTATTATGAAGCACTCAATGCATGATTGCCCTCTGTTGTTTGACAGGACTCTAAGGCCATATCCCATATCTAGCAGGCGTATTGTACCTCCCCACATAGACCAGCCAGACTGGGCAGATGATGTGAGTCTGAGTAATTTTTGTTGTGAATATTGTGTTTGTCAATGTTGGAGTAAATCTGTGTTGGTGTAAATGCTCCAAATGAATTTATAGATCTATATAAGTTTCTATTTATGAAGATCGTCAAGAAGTGCATCTCTATATTTGGTGTGTCCTCTGCAAGGTGGAGAATGAGTGCTAAACATTTATTCATGGAGCACCAGTTCTCTGCTTTCTGTATGGAAAAGACTTTCATCTATTTCACTTTAGTTTCCTTGGCTAAATTCTATCAACAATTTTGTCAGTCAGTTGCTTTGTGTTGCTCCCTTCAAGAACAAAAGGAGAATTTTTTGGATCAACAGGTTGCTATTTTTTGGGAAGTTTGGTTGGAAAGAAACAAAAGGATTTTCAATGATGTGGAGCACGCCAAAGAGTTTATTTTGGGACTATTATTTGTGTGGCTTCTAGGTGGGCCTTCTGTTCCAAATTTTTTTGGTGCTGTTCCTATTTCTATGATCGTAGCCTATTAGAGCGTATATTTCATTTATCAATGAAATTTGTATCCTACCAAAAAAGGAAAATTGCAGCCCTTTTGCCTATTAGTGTTAGCTTAACTACAAAGTCCTTGGTTTGAAGTAACCATCCAAGGTTCAATTCCTCCAACCCACTTGTGTCTTTGTCAAAAAAGAAGTGCATCCAAAAAGATCATTTGAAACTCTGGTTCTTTGGCTGTTATGCACTAGTTATTTTGACATGCTGATAAACATTTGAATGAGTTAGAAACTTTGAACCTGTTGAGTGGGTCAAAATGCTAAGAGTCGGAGCTAAAGGCTCTCTCGCATGAATTGTATTGTTCTCTTTTTTTCTTCTTCTTGTTGGGATCTTCTAGAATGTTATTCTGTACTTAATTATATATATTGACTATAACAAATGAATAATTCTATTGAAACAAATGTTTGGCATTTGACATTGTGAACTATATAAATGCTGTTTTTTGTTTCTATTTCCACATTCACTTTGTAACTGAAATACCTCTCCTTTTCTCTAAATTTTCAGGGAATACCAAAAATTGAGCCAAATAGTGATTTTCAACATGTTGTTGAGGTAAGCTTTTGTTTCTGAACTATTACTTTGGTTGTATTGATTGAACTTGACCATTTCAGTCGATAGACCAACAATCGACCTTTTCATATATTCTTTTTCCTTTTTGAAGATAAAAAAACCAGATCAAATTGAGAAAATGAGAGAGACTTGCAGGGTATGTGTATCTCTTCAATTCTAAACATTCAAGTGGCTTACGTTCTTATTTTTACATTTATGCTTTACTAATATCACCGGTGATTTAAATAAATTATCTATCAGATTGCAAGGGAAGTTTTAGATGCAGCTGCTAGAGTGATTAAACCTGGTATAACTACTGACGAAATTGATCATGTGGTTCATGAGGCAACGATAGCTGCAGGTACTGTAAATTAATTTTTTTACCTTCCATGATGTGGTCTAGTAATTAAAGGGGCTAGCTAAAAACTTAAATGACTTAGAAGTTATGGTTTCAAATCTTGGTGGTCGCTTAACAATACTAAATATCCTATGAGTTTGGGTTAGGTTGGATGGTTGTACATGGATTAGTTGCGTGTAAGCTGGTGGAACACCCACGACTTCAAAGAAAAATGTTCTATAGTTTCATATTTCCTTAACTATGGGGGAAAAAGAACTGGCCACCATTTCTTAGTGTTGCCTCCCGAATTTGCTTCCTTTGATTTTCTTCATGAAAACTAATTACTTGAGAATTAATCTGCAAAAGTTCACATGGCATAAGTGCAGCCCTGTTCTGCCTTTCCTTTTTCAGGAAAGGGATTATCGTTTCTCGTTGTTGCCTCCTTTGTCAAAGATGTATTTTGGTCTCTTCTTCTTTTTTGCTTTCATTTGAATGTATTATTATGAGATTCATTTTTACCCAAATATTGGTTGTCTACAGATCAATTTAGATTGGGAAAAAATCATTTACCATGAAACCATGGTTACTGAATTTTTTTCGTTTACATTATGTCAGGTGGATATCCATCTCCACTCAATTATCATTTTTTTCCCAAGTCTTGCTGCACGTAAGCACTGATTTATGTACAATTTTCATTAATTTTATTCATTGGTGTTTTCTTTGAACCATACAAATTTCAGTTTGTTTTTCTTTGCAGTTCTGTTAATGAAGTGATTTGTCACGGCATTCCTGATGCAAGGTATGCATTTTAATCACTCATTCATGTGGACGTAGTACATCTCATTTTGCTGAATCTGTGTGATTTCTTGTATCCCTCCCCCCTGAGGTTGCTGGTCTAAATGTATTCATGCTTTAAATATGAAATATGCATTAATATTGATCATCTGATGAGGTAGAGGTTTAGTCAAAATTTTCTCTAATTGTTTCAGGAAATTACAGGATGGTGATATTGTAAATGTTGATGTGACTGTGTACTATAAAGGGGTTCATGGTAAGAAGTGTTATTTAGCAAATTTAATTGACACAAACAAGTACCTTTTTTCTGCTAATTGCTGACTTGAAATGCAGGTGATCTCAACGAGACGTACTTCGTAGGAGAAGTTGATGAAGAGTCCCGACGTCTAGTCCAATGTACTTACGAGTGTTTGGAGAAAGCTATCGCCATGGGTATGTATACAACAGTTCGATGATGCACCATTGACTATACCCTCTCCCTCCGTCATACTTTCTTCGACCATGCTCTTTCATGTAGCTAATTGAGAATGAAGACTATAAATTTGTACTTTAAAGATGGTTTGGGGCTATAATTTTGTTTCAAGAAGTTGGGAAAGAATAACTTTCTTTATTACTGGACTGAAATTTCTTTTTTAAGTCGTATGTTAGGCTGTTTATATTATAGTTTTTTCACATTTTGTTAGAGCGAGCCTTATGGTCCAAGACTTCTTGCAGGGATTAGTCATCTATTAGTGGCTACACGTGTAGGAAGTTATAATCCATAAGCTCTAAAATCAAGCAGAGAATTCTCGAAATTATTTTAGATTTTTTTCTTGGGTGGTTTAAACTATTTTGGATATTTCTTCATCAGCTTAACTGAATTTTGTAATCCCGCATGGAATAAATATGTGAAGCTTCATAATGTATTGCAGTGAATCATTTTCTGGATTCTAGGAAGAGTTAGTTTAGGCTTTTAAGGATACTTTTGAACAGATGTGCAATATGTTGCATTTTCCTGCGCGCAAGTTCTATAGTGAAGTTTTTGTGATTGTATCCACTCTCAGATCTTCTTTTGAACCAATCTCAACAACGATAATAGAAGTTAAATGTAGGTTGGATTGTGTTGAGTCCAGATGCAAGGGAAAGATTGAAAGTAGTTATTAGAATTCTTAGTGTTGCTGTGATAATCCTTTTGTGACAGATATATTTCATAATGTAATAAAAATATTCACTTTGGATTTCTTTTTCTATCATCATCAGTGAAACCTGGAGTTAGATTTCGTGATGTTGGAGAAGTTATTAATCGTCATGCTTCGATGTCCGGCTTGTCTGTGGTAATGTCTAATTTCAGTTTCCAGTTAAAAGCACGATCACTTCTACCAGATTAAATGTTTTTGTACAATTTGTTTTGTTTTCTCACTTCCTTTGTGCAATTAGGTCAAGTCATATTGTGGGCATGGCATTGGAGAGCTCTTTCATTGTGCCCCAAATATTCCACATTATGGAAGTAAGTAAACTGCATATAGCGATTATTTAGTGTGTTTATATGTTACTACATCTTGCTGGCATTCTCTATATAGACATCTTACTCTCAATTATGTACTAAAACAAGGAAACAAAGCGGTCGGTGTCATGAAAGCCGGGCAAACCTTTACAATCGAACCGATGATCAATGCAGGTACATGTTCCCCATTCTTCAACTTGATCCCAGCACATGTGTTGCCTTTTGTTATTATTTTTCTTCTTATTTTCATTTAGTTCTAATTTTCTAATCACAGGAGTATGGCGCGATCGGATGTGGCCTGATGGATGGACTGCTGTTACTGCCGATGGCAAACGAAGTGCTCAGTTTGAGCACACCCTCTTGGTAATAATGAATGTCCTTAGCTCTCCATCCCTTCTTCTGATATCAATGTCTTTGAATATAATGGTCTGGCTAAATCAAGTTACGGATATCCCATCTTTTTGACCATCTATGGAAGTTTTACGCCCTCCTTCAGAATATTCGCATTTCCAAACTAGATATAACGAAGCATAGTCTGCAACATTTTTCAAAAGGAAATTAGCACAACCGTCCGTAACTGCAAAGACTGGAGAACTATCTGTTGTGCACACAATTCTGTTTGGAATTAAGACCTCTGATAGAATCTCTGTTCTATTATTTATATCTCAAGGTCATTACAAGGGTCAAGGGAGTATTAGAGAGCTCCCGTTCCTCTCCCAAAGAAGGTCCTAGACAAAAACAGCAAAAAGATATCCCTCTACCTCACTACCAGAGTATATACGCTAGCAAAATACCCCCACTGCCTTCTAACCAGCGTACAGTGGTCCCTCCCCCTTTAATGATTTTCTACCTTTTTCTCATTCATTTTCTATTTTGATACATTTTTTATTTTGATATCCGTGTGTCTGAGCCAGCTTGTGTGCACCTTGACTAATCACGAGCCAACTGCTTCATCCTACTACATTCGGTTGATAATGGAACTAGTAGGATATTAAATCCTAGGTGGGTGGATACCATAGTCTATCAACCTCTAGGAACCATTTCTTTCAATCCTCTCGTTCTTGGCTTGACTGTTAAATGAAATATAGCGAGCTGATCGGTGGTCTTTTGCCGAAAATGAACCAAAACCAAAATCGAGCGGACACGAGTTAGACTGAAAGTGAAAACCATAGTTCAAATCCAGTCTGTTTGGTTGAATTTTGTGTGTAATACTGTGTTTGGGTGGGTTGTGTTATGTAGGTAACAGAAACTGGAGTTGAAGTTCTCACAGCACGGTTGCCTTCATCTCCCAAGGTATTTCCATGGCTGGACTGATGAACAAAATCAAATCAATCACTGTGGTCATCAACAGATGCAAGAGATCATAATCCTGACTAGGCCTCGGATTCAGACGCCAGATTTTCGACACTAATTCTTGTTACTGCCCTGTTTCTATTGGTCCACAGTGCTGAAGCTTGGAAACATAGAACAATAATGTTGTAGCAATAAGACTGTTTTATCTATTATTTACATTAGTAGCCATTTTTGTCAGTTGGGCTTGAGGGTGATGAAGCCCATTGTGTTGAGGCCCATCAAAGGCCCACGTTTAATGCTCTTCTACTTCTATACACACCCAAATCCAATAACTTCGAGGTTCGGCTTTGTGAATTTTATACTATCAAAATTTGTCATTGTCTCCTCTCTCTATCTCTAGTGTTGATTTCTGAATTATATTTTCTTATGAGAGAAATTTACATTTATTCATCGTTTTGAGCTGACTCGAAAAGCTATATTGCTTATGGGGTGTTTATGCCATTTATAAAACTTTTTAAAAGGAATTATTTACACAAATTTGGAGAGACACTACCCAAAATGATGTTAGAAAGAAACAAGAGTGAAACTAAAAATAGCCCAAGACGGCGTCGTTATGAAGGAAAAAAATGTGAAACTGAGAAAGACAAACGACATCGTTGTGAAGAACAAAAGAGTGAAACTGAGATAGATTAAAACGACATCGTTGGGAGGAAAAAGATTGAAAAAAGTTCCGTTGCCGGGATTTGAACCCGGGTCTCTCGGGTGAGAGCCGAGTATCCTAACCAACTAGACTACAACGGAATCGTTGAAATGTTTTCGTTTTGTTTATTTTTATATAATTAATTAAATAAATAAAAACATATTCCCCCACGTGGAAAAATTAGCTGTTAAAAATCCTTTGGCTGCAAACGGTATCTTGATAAAATTTTGAGCCTTGTAAATTAATATTTTCTCTGCTCATAAACCCGAATACCATTACATAATGCAAGCAGATGAACGGAAAACACCGGGGGGACAGGGAGAGGTACATAACTAAGAGTTCTTTCGCCATAAAACCCAACAGCATGATAGAAAAATAGCAGCACAATATATTACAACAAACACAAAAAAACGTATTAAACATAATACATAGACGCCTACGTTCTTGATCTCCTGATATCGATGTGCAACCCACTGCTGAACATGTTTGTTTGTTTGTTTATTCAGCAACCTTGACGCCTGAGAGATAAACTCGACTCTGAATTATGGTTCCTCCGATCATGAAACCCGGCATGACCATCAGGCCAACTTTTGGTTTGGGGTCGTTTTCGTCGATGACCAAATTCTTTACCACGCTATCCATATAAACGTCTGAGAACTCGTTTCCTCTTTTAACCTGGAATACCTTTACACTGGGATCAAAAGAGTAAGCCAACCTGTGTAGAAGCCAGATTGCCTTTGCCAATTTAAGAAACACCTGGTAGAAAGGGGTTCTAGGATGTCCACCCCCTCCCACATGATTTCTCTGATCTAAATTTCCAAAGAATGAGGCCTCCATCTTTGGATGGACCACTAGTAGGTACTTGCTCCTGCAAAATTTACCAAATATGGAATCTGGATTTTGGCCTAGCACGTCTAATGGATCCACGTCCTTCAATGCGAGAAATTGCCGGAAGAACTCCTCTTTTGTTAATACAAGATCGTCCGCTTTGATCGAGAAACTTTCGTGCTGAAAGTCACAAAACATTTTCTGGCATATGTGCGACTCGAATGCATATTTCTTGTGAGCTCTTTTTGCATAGACGACATGGGGTTCAACTGAGTTAGCAGCAGCATCAAGGTCCCAGCCAGCTGCTTTCATCATGTTGATCAATGGCTTGGAAAAATCATGAATGGCCTTAAAAGCACCTTCAACGGCAGATATAAACAGATCAGATGTCAAGTCCACGAGGAAAGTTCCATTTTCATCTGCAGAACCTTCTGATTCTTTCATTGATAGCCCTCTAAGCTTGAGGTTCTTTTCCAGTTTTACCTTCTTCTGGTTTGCCTCCTCAATCTGCTGCTGCAAGTGAAGAATCTCAAAATCTTTGTTCTGAATTTCAGACTGAAATTTCTTTACCATAACCTCATAAGTTTTCAGAAGGCTTTGTTGTTCTTGGATCTCTGCAGCTAGGCGCGAGTCCTGTGGCGAAACACATACTGGTTTGGGGTTGTTCTCTCGATAAAAGTGTTTGAGCTCGGATAGCTTCTTCAGCTCGGAAATTACAAGTTTATCAGCTGCTTGAATCTTTTCAGGGTCATAGGGTGTATGAGCACCTTGGAGCTGGATATAAGCAGACTTAAGGGAAGAAATGTTAGCAAAAAGCTTTGATATAAGGGTTTCCATAGCTTCAGGTTTCTGGTTCATGGCCTCGTCCATGGGTTGCGGGTGAACCTTCTGGCTATTGCTCTCACGGAGTTGGTTATCTTTCACTCCAGTCAATAGCATAGCTACTTCTGAAAATTGGAATACAATAAACTTCCTTCAAATAGAACACCAATATCATCCACCTGCAATCTCCAAAGCAGTGTAAATGACATCTAACAGGGAGGTCCAAATAAAATGAACATTGGAATGCTGCTTTTGTTGGAGGCAGTAGATGAAATGTAATTTTGTATCCACTGACAGAAATGCTTCGAGCCAGAAATACAAATATTTTCCCTTCTTAAGGATAAAAAACAAATACAACCTAGATTTTATGCATGCATGAACCAAACCATAACATTTAAGGTCTCATAAGTTGCTAGGTCAATCAGTGAACCACTTTATAAGTCTATTGTACCATGAGATTTTTTAGCAATATTCACCAAGTAATATCCAGGTAAATATCCGGATGAGTCCAATATCACATGCACCTCTCCCAGCCACCTATCTGATTTAACTTTTTACATAGTAAGAAAACTAGCAGAAATGTTGGAATTAAAAGATTATCATGATCTCCGTACCTATAGGATTTTCATCATTAACGTACTCCGACAAACACAATCAGCTTCGACCTGCATACAAGAGCAAAGAAATCAAGTTATCAAGAAGAGTCGATTTCCGATGATGATAAAGAATGTTGGGGCTTATTCTGGTGAGTTCCAGTATAAATAATTCATTAGAGCATATTTGTCCAAATTAAGTCAGCTCCCTAAGCATTTTGTCGCAATTGTAAGTCCAATAGACTGATGTTTGGCAAATTAACTTTATAATTAAAAGCTGATATATTGAGGGCAGCCACAATCCAATTTTCAATATTTTATTTCTACAGCCTACATCTCATTTTTAAATTGGAAAGTTCTACACTATATGATCATAGTATATTACACTTCAAAATTTTCATATAATTTTCCAATGAGAGAGAGAGAGATGTAGAAACGCCAAGATTCAACACTTCTTCAGAGCTTCAACATGCATCTTCACTAATCTTGAAAATAATAGTTTAGATCCCTATGATAGTGACAAAGGTCCCAAGGGTAACACAAATCTCAAACGCATATTTCCCATAATTACACCATTTGGCCTCTCTAACTACATCTGTTGAGCTAAAAATTTCACCATGGCAGCGCAACAGAGCACCATTGTTTGCAGTTCCCAATCCATCATACACAAACCAAGCCAAATTAGTACTACTACCAATCTTCTGGATACCAAATTCCTAACTAATCCACTTGCCCCACAGAACAAACGAGAACAAAAAACAAAATTCAACAATTGCAACCACTTCAAAACCCTAAATCTCAACAGACACCTTAACTAAACTACGTTGAATCAAACACGTCAAAAGAAAAAGAAAAAAAGCAAACTAGAAATCAAGAAGTAACTCCATTCAGCGATTAACCAGCAGATTTCCGGTAACTAGAGAGCAAAGACATAGAGCCTTACGCAGCTTGCAGCGGCCGGAAAGTCGCCGGAAATGTGAAAACTTGAAACGAAGGCAGAGGCGAGTAGCCACGCGCACGGTGAAACTCCCTTCCGAACCCTTCTCTTTGGTAAAGAAAAGGGAAAAAAGCGACGATGAAGGACAGCTTTGTCTTTTCCCAATGTCTTCTTTTCGAGTGCTTCTAAAAATTCTCTTTCCACGCATAACGCGTCATAAATTTTTAATATCTAAAAAATAATTTGTGTAATTTTTATTATTAATTGAAACTAATATTGATACAAGAAAAGGAATGGAAGGCTCTTGAACATTCCACTTTTTTTTTCCTTTTTCCTTTTTTCTTTTTTATAGTACCATTCTATAGTTTATACACATTTATAATCCTATTTAAGTCCACAAAATTCTATCTTTTTAGTACAACATATGAGGTAGAAGATTCGAACTCACGATGTTTTAGACGAAAATATATGACTTAATCAATTAAGTTATATTRCTTGAGTGTAACTTGACAATAATCAGTATCTATCTCTCATCAATAAGTCACGAGCTTAAATCTCTCCAAACTCATGATTTTTTAGATGAACATAGATGATTTAATCATGTGAGTTATATAACATGAATTTAACTTGACAGGTATCTATCTCTGACCAAGAGATTATGAGCTTGAATCTTTTCGTTCTTATTTATCGTACTAATAAAAACACAAAATAAAATTTAGAAAATCATTTTTAATTCAACACATTTTAGAAAATAAGTGTTTGAAAGTTTATAATAACATTTGTTTGTTAAATTAAAATTATTCTGACCTTTATAGCATGTGAAATATAATATTTATAATAGTCCTAAGATTTTTAACTCATCCTATTGGTTAAATTCTCAAAACGATCCTTTTTTTTTTTTTTTTGAGAAAAATCCATCATTACCACGTATATTTTTAGTGTGATATATTTTATTGTCATGTCACGTCTAAAGAAAATATGTTGGGTAAAAATGTTATTAGATTAAAGTTTTTAAAATTTAATCAAATCAGAAATATTAGATCCAAGCTTTTCAAATCCAAATTGAGATAAGTGCTTGAACCACTTTAACTGTGCTCGATTTGATTTTTTAATACTGTGTTAAAATCTCGATCAAATTTATTTAGATTAAAAATATCCTTGGACTCAATTTATCTCTTTTACTTTCAAATTTAACAATAATTTAGTACAAACTGTAAAATACAACAAACTAGTCTTTATAATTTAAAATTTATAATGATTTAGTCATTATCGTAAAAAATATTAAATTTATTTTCATGAAATTTCTTATATACGTTGATCAATAAAATGAAGAACTGTTTATAAACTATAAATATTAAATTATAAACTAAAAATAATGCCATTTAATTTATAGTCTAATAATTATAATTAAAAACAAGGTATATACAGTTATTTTCCTGCAAAGTTCGATCAAAAAGGGAAGCAATCAAGAAAGTTACTTTTGAGGAAGTACTATTTCATTTTCTCTGTTTCAATCGATCAAGAAAGAATCTTTTAGCTCTGGAGCTATCAAGAATATGGAGGGGAAGAAGAATCGAAGCGCCGCAGCGTTTCCTGGAGCAAAGAATCGCCCGCCATGGCATAAAGAAGTAGAAGAAGGCACTCCAAGAACAGATGCTCTCTCCTGCCCGACGAAATGTATGGTGAGCGAAATTCTCTTCCCATTCCCTTCTTAAATTTTTCTTTTAATTTTGGGGATCTTATCTCTGTTGGATTTCGGCTGATTGTTCGTCCATTGTTTGCCCAGTCCGACTGAATTTTACTGGGATTTCGTTAGAACAAGTAACAACTAGGGTTTACATTTAATTAAAGAAGTCCGAAAATTCCGACGAACAGCTTTCTTGGCTGAAATGATGGAAGAAGCAATCAACTGCGCAAACTTGTAGTAGAATACAAGCAAATATATAATAATCAATCTTGAAGGGCAGTTATCATCAAAAGAATTATAGGCAATAAGTAGAGAAATAATGTCCACATTCTTTCAAGAAGTGTATTAAGAAAGACCTATACAGAGAAAATATGTATAAGGTTGGTAACTAATTCATAATTAATAGTTCACGTCAGAATAGATATCATACTACAGATTGATAATTTTGTTGACCAATTACAATCCTAGTTTATTCATAATGATCAAGAAAGGAACATTTAGAGTTTTTTTGTTTGTGCAGTCGGGAGCTCATTTTGCTTGCTTTTATTCTTCAAAAATTGAATTAGCATTCTACAACCACCAAATGGCATTCCTACTGTATGTGTTTATTTGCACTCTCTTTTTTGTACTGCAGTAACAGCAACAATTTGAGCCATCCATATGAAGTTGTTCTAGTTCATATCTTAATAAGAAACAATCAATTCGACAATTCTATCATAAATGAAGAAGGCATGGTCTGTTTCCTCTATATCCAGGGACACCCATGCCCGCCCAAGGCCCGAACACAAGAGACATCAAGGATTTTTAGTATTAAGCTCACCAGAAGATTTGAATTTGAGACTTCTAAGCCAATATGACTAAGAGATCTCAAATCCTTGCCAGTCAAGCTGCTCCTAAGGATTCGTTAGTAGCGTAGTTTATCCTTTTTTAACCAAGCCCTTTTGCCCATAGCCTAACCTAACATATAAAAAGGTAGGGCACTCCTCATAGGGGCATTGTTGCAATTTTATATTTTGTTTAGTTGTTAGGATTAGTCTGTAGGGTAAGTTGCTTACCATTTGTATGTATTTGTAACTTAAGCCCATTACCCCATAGCCTAACCTATACATATAAAGGTTGGGCTCCCCTTTTTGAATCAATTTTTTTTTAGAATTAATAAATTAATCCATTGTCTTTTTTGGCTCTAACTCTCCACCAGATTCTATTCATTTCTTGGTTTTCTCCTAGCATATTATTTCGTAGCAGTCTTTGTAGCCAATTGGAGTGCCTTTTCTGTAAGCCCTTCACTTGTAAGGAGATTTCTTGGCTTCCTTCTATTTTAACGGAAATGGTTTCTTATGAAAAATGTGTTCAACAACTACATGAATTGTACCATTAACTTAAAATATTGAACTTGACAGGTTTCATATAACAAAATACGTGTGATATATGCAAGGAAATGTAGAGTACAAAAGTTCCAACTTCTAAGGAGAGCATGTTTGTGTGCGTAATAAGTTTTTAAATTATGAGAAAGAATGGTACTCACTCATGTCGGTTGAAGACGAGAATCTACAGTAGAATGAAGAAGCTTCGTAAACCTAAAATATTGAATCAAGTGATTGTCAACATTGACTATTATTTATGCTATTACACCAGAATATACTCATCATAAGCTAGGACAATGAGTATACTATTATCTGCAGAAGCAATTTGCTTTCCCCTGTATGCAATGACTCTACTTATGAGGACGAACATCTAACCTTTATATGGGTTTGAAATATTATACAATGATAGGAAATAACCTTGCAGTTAAGCATCGACGTTGGGGCCAGGATATGCTGGTAGGCTCATTATTCGCTTGTCCAAGACAGGACCTCCCACAGTGAAATGATATAGGCTCTGGAAGTTTGATCCTTTCAACCCAAGTGTTTCATGCACTGCAAAACAAAGCCAATGGATAGAGGCATGAGAGACACTCATCAACTTCTCAGAATATAAGATGTCAGAAGTTTAAAAGGTATCCATCATAATACAACTGTTTATATGTGTATGAATGATTCAAACAAGATGCAAACTGTTGTCTGAAATAATATGAACCAATACACCCCCTGAATTCTTAAGAGTAAAATGAACATGAAAGTCCTCACTTTTAGCTTTCCATCTCGAAAAATTTATGTTACATGTTTATCCTAATCTTCGTGATTGTCGCCAACCATCTCAATTTCATTCTTTGACTTTATGGTCTTTGATTATTGTCTCATTGCTGCCTTGTGGGTGCCAACTTGGTTTGCCTTTTGGACCATTATTCCTACACAACTTGTATCTCAGGTCAAGAGAAGCAGGAAAGAATCTTCCACTCCCAGCAAATGTATACTTATTTATCTGAATTGAATAATCCTTGGCCACCATAGGTTTAGCCCTAATCAATGGCTTATGGGGTCTCGAGATGAACACAAATAAAATCAGTAAAAGGATCATTTTAAGTTTTTCCCATCCCTTCATCTGTTACTGTTCTTAAGAATCTAAGAATCTGTTGTGTTCTTCTCTCTTTTCCTTTCTTTTATTCCACCAAGAAATAAAGATTCCATAAACTATCGGTTACTGTATCTTGAGATATTTACAAATAGACATTCTATAATGAATGTAAAGATCTTACCAGGATCATCAAAGAAGCAACCAATTCCAGTTGCAGATATATCAACAGCATGTGCTTCAAGGTATAACACCTGCCCAAGAACTCCAGTCTCCCAAAAAAGTCGAGGATACATGTGAACGCCTTTTTCACGCAATGTAGGCTCGTAACGAGCAATCATTCCCAGGCTGAAGCAACCATCACTGGCAATATCCTATATGTCAAAAGAAACATATATAGCTAAATTGTATAGACAAAAGTGAAAAGAAAAAAGAAAAATTCCTTCCAAAACTACAAAAATGGCTATTTCAGTGGACAATTTGCCATTTATCATCGCACTAGTGCATCGTGACAACATTATCAAATATGCAGAAAATGCTCTTAGAAAAATAATTTATCTATAGATTATTTGCAGAACTTGATGCAACAAGCCCTGGAAAGACTAACAACAGTTTACCTACATTGCCGAGTTTATCTATAGATTATCAGCCTTTGGATGGTCTATGCGGCCCTACCAAATGATTCTCCTCTTCTCCTTCGATTACCCTTTTTGTAACTCCTTTGGATTGCGATATTTCTCCTCTCTTATAATTCCATACCGTCAAATGAAATTGTTTCTCGTAAAAATAAAAAATAAAATATAATCTAGATTGCAAAGATGAAACTATCTTTTTTTGGTGAAAGAAACAATTTCATTGATATATGAAATTACAAAAGCCTCAAAGGAGGATTACATGAAGCACTTCCAATTGGCTAAAAGGGAAGTGTAGCTATAATTGTGAAACATAGGGGAGGATTTACACCGAGTAATGACGGTAAGAACTATAGCTTCAAAAAAATTTTCGAAAGGGAGAGTTTTGTCGCTGAAGATGCATTGGTTGCGTTCTCTCCAAGTGACCCAAAGGAAAGCCCGTATAAAATTCTGCCAAAGAAGAGCTTTCTCTTTTCTAAATGGATGTCCGCTAAGAGTAGTTTCAATGAGGTGAGGGGGATCCGTTGGCAGAGCAGTGTACCAACCAAAAGTGCTAAGGATGAGGTTCCAGAATTTGGTTGCAAAGCGGCAGGAGACGAAGAGGTGTTGTTGGGTCTCAAAGTTTGAATGACACATCACACACCAATGGGGGGAGAGAGCCATATAAGGCAATCTTCTTTGTAGTTTATCACCGGTGTTGATAGCACGGTGGCTAAGTTCCCAAAGATGAAACTATCAAAGATCAGGTTTCTGAAGCAATTTGGGTGACCATAACTAATACCATCTACATGTGCAATATTCCATTCTCCAGTTAAAATTTTTTAACTTCGTCATTAAATGGGTATAACATCAATATCTCATCTACATTTGCATGCATACTTTCCTAACTAGCAAGAAAATCCAGAAGGGCATTGGAGTGGCCATTAAGAAGGTGCAAAGGATCTAAGGTCGAAGTGCAGCAGTTGCAGGGCAGAAGCACTTGCTACAGCTTGTCAAGCCATGGTATGCGCTTATAATTTATGTTGTAGAGATATTATTGTTGAATTTGATTGTTTACTAGTAAAAAACTGGTTAAATTAGCAGCTATCCAGATATCATCTAGCAAATCTAGCCGTTGGGGTGCCATCAAAGCTCATTCAATATGACTAGGCGATCTTTGTAAGCTTCATAGTTGTTTAGTTTAGGTGTTGAATCCATCAATTCCCATAAAAACTAGCAAGAAAATCCATCAAATAAACAAATGGAATTGAAGTTAAACCAACCTGATGGCATGACAATCGCTTGGCGAGTGCCTGATAATTGCCTCTGTGTAGCTCATATAGAGGGAGATCACTGGGGCAGCCATCAGGTTTCACCCACTTAAAATCTGGACTGGTAGCTCTCTTCAGCTCATCAAAATGATCTTCATTTCTCACCAAAAAGTACAGACCCTGTGGCAATCCCGCCACCCTGTGAACAAACAGAGCCGCATGAACCTCAGATTCCCATGGAAGAGTACGAAATGGCAATGCCAATCCTCTGCTCTGTTTCTCCCCTTCTCGAGAACCCGAAGGCAGACAATGCAATAGAATCTGATAAAATGTGTCTCTCGCCATTGTTGTAACTCCATCCATGTCCACTGCGCTCCTGCGCTTCCTCACAACTTCCCTAGCTGTAAAGCCCTTGTAGGAACTGTCACCAAGAACCCCACTGCTCTGAAATGGATGAACTAGAGATCTACCGTCAACTGTTAATGGCTTCTCCACCGCCATGGCTGTTCTGTAAATTATATCCCAACATACGTGCTCTTTGCTGAGCACATTTGGCTCTCCTTTCCAGTCTAGCTCTGTGAATTCCTGTATTGCAGAGCTTAATTCCTCGTAATTCAGGGAAAATTCGGCAGTACCATTGGGGAAAACAGCGAGTAGACAATCAGGATGCTCGAATTCAATCACCGGAAACGAACCCTTAACCGGCCGCGACGGAATTTCAAACTCCGGGAATGAGTGTAGCCCCATGAGCCTCTTCAAATCGGCGTGGCCCAATCCATCGAGAAGCTTCACATCCCACCCAAGCCCTGCGGCGGCTATGGCAACCGCCGCAATGGCGTGGCCAACGTCGTGATTACAATACCGAAATGCTCGCTCCCCGTACTTCCAAGCCTCGCGCCAAAAAATCGAAGACAACCCAATAAGAAAAACGTCTTCAGGGAAGAATTTGGAGAAAAACCCAGGTGGAATTCGAGTTCTAATCTCCAACGAGTGCTCTTTGGGAGCATAATGCGCGACGAAACCAGAATCCGACAGCGATTCCACACCCGGAGCAATCAAATAAGCCTCAGTCGGATGCAAATTCCCGCTACTGGGATTGACTCTAAGCGACCAAGTGGAAAACCCAGTAGATTTCCAAGCAGAAAGCGCTAAAGAATCGAAGAACAACTGAGAAATGGTAGCCTTACAGATGGGTTTCGGAGGAGGTGGCGATAGGAAGAGAGAATCGTACAGAGGAGCGTCGTGGAGCTCGTGTTCTGAAGCGGCGGATTGCTTGAGAATTGGGAAGTGCGAGAGGGGAAGAAGAGGGGCGGAGATGTAGCGGCGGAAGGGATTGGGCTGATTGGCCCAATCGAGGCCATGGGGGCCTCTGGCGTACTTGGCGAAGCCGTGCTTGGTCTGGGCGTGGTACTTGAGGACCTGCGAGAGCTTGTGATCGGCTTGATCGAGAGGGGTTTTGGGAGTGGAGAAAGAAGGGGATTGCGATGGGGAAGTGGAGGAAGCGAAGGACATGGCGGAGGCGAAGAAGATTGTGGTGGCTGGGAGTGAGAAAAATGGAGGTGGATTCCAGAACTTTGGAGAAGGAAGTGACGAAGCCGAAGGCATCCTTGTTCGTGCCTCGTGGGCTGGATTTTGGGCATCTTTCTCCTGAGAATTGAATTAAAGCTTCCGTTTAATTTAATTTAGCCCTTCCAACGGAGTTGGTTCTATGTCTCTTTAAAGTTTAAATTTAATCAGGGTCAACTGGTATAAAATTAATATTTTGGTCTTTAAAATTTGAAAAATAATTTTAAATGGTCCTAATTTTTTTAATATTAATTAACTAATATTAAAATGAAGTGGTAAATTACAATTAAATTGTTTATTGTAATTAATGATGTGGTAAATTATATTAATTAAATAATATATGTATATGTGTACTTTATCTCTCATTTCCTCGTATCTTCCTCTCTCTTTCTCCTACCATTTTCCAACGACCACCACGTCTTTGTCGTCGCAGTCCGCCATTCATACCGAACATATATTATTTAATTAATATAATTTGCCACATCACCAATTACAATAATTAATAATTTAATTGCAATTTGCCACGTCATTTTAATATTTGTTAATAACAGCAAAAAAAAATTAGGGACATTAGAACTATTTCTCAAACTTAGAAGAAAAATGTTCATTTTAAAACCTCGGGACGAAGTTGACACCTACTTTAAATTACAATGACCAAAAGTGTTCATTTTAAAATTTTATGGACCGTAAACATCTACGATCTACCTGGACTAAAAATGTATTTTACCCCCTTTTTTTTTGTCCCCTACAACTTTTTAATCTTGTGAAAATACGAATTTGCTCTTATCATATAATAAATAAGCATTTATGATATAATAAATTCACGCTCGCTCTTTACCAACTTTTTTATTTTAAAATCTCAATTAGTTCATGTTTTTTCATCTATTTTGCAATTTCAAAACATAACTCACATTTTTTAATTCCGATGTGTTTATCCACGTGTTGATCATTATCATCACGTTATCCAATATCACCATGCCTCTATATTATCGTTGTCCCTGCATTTTCACAAAGTAGACGTGTCTTACAACGTTTTTTACTTTTAAATTGTATAACTTTTTTGACGCATTGCCCTTTTTTTCATGTCTACATTTCTTCTTCTCTTGTGCCCTTCTAAACGGCCGCATTTAAACAAAAAATAAAGACTTTGAACGTTCAATTCCGGACCTATAATGCCTACTTGGACCGAGGTTATAGTGAAATTTGCTCCAATATTATAAAATATTCAATCATAGGTCTGAGACCGACATGTTGCCCATGCCAAGATTGTCAAACATTGGTTCAGGATCATACAATATTAGTCCTTAACTAATTGGCGATTCGAGACTAATAGATTAATAAAAAGAGAGAGATAGAGAGATAAACATTGAACAATGCATTAAAAAAACAAAGCATCATTATCTCAAATTGCCAATTAGTCCTTGACCAATGTTTGACAATCTTTTACTAGGAGGGAACGTGTTATATCAGACCAAACCTGAATCTATAAGTACCAGGATTGAACGTGAAGTTTCACGTTGCTTTAGCAAATTTCATTACAACTTTGAACCATGTATGCATTCCCGATCAAGGATCGAACATTAAAGTAAAAAACATTGTAGAACATAACTATCTTCAACAATTTAAAATTAAAAAATATTGTAGAACATAACTATCTTGTAAAAACGTGAGGACGATGATATTGGATAATGTGGAGACCATGATCAATATGTGGAAAAACACGTAATAATAAAAAAAAGTGAGTTGTAATTTATACAAAAGAGATGAAAAACAAAGGGTAATTGAGATTTTGAAATTAAAAGTTTGGTAAAGAAGAGATGGAATTCATATTTTCACAATAAAGAGTAAAAAACACATGTTAAGGGCTTACAAAAATAAGTTTTTTTTAAAAGGGTCATAAATCAAATGAAATTACAAAAGGGTAAGAAATCCCAATTTCCCATTGTGTGTGTGTGTGCGCGTTTTTTTATTTTATTTTTATTTTTTAACTTTATTAATTTAACCTTGCTAATTCACTTTATAATATGGATATTTGAAAAACGAAAAATAAAAATTGTACTTCCATCTTGATGTTCTTCCACCTTTCAGACTTTCAGTACCGCTCCCCGCTTTCTCCGCGGGAATGGCGTTTTCTTCCTCATTTTCCCGCTTAAACCTCATCCCCAAACCTTCGCTTCCTTACGCCATGACTTCTTTGAGAGCGCTGAACCTGAACCTCCACAAGCTATTACGAACCAAATGGATGGAACCAGGTATGTCAATGAATGGTTCATCTGCCCGATTTTCCGTTTCGAAAATTATGAGCTCTGCTGGACTCCACACTCAGATTTCAAGGCCGCAAGACGATTTGATTGTTCTTGGCATCGAAACGAGCTGCGACGATACTGCGGCTGCCATTGTAAGCTAGCGACATTGCTGTTTGCGAGTTTGCGAGTGTTTTGACTGTTGTTAATTCTGGTTTTCCGTTGATGGTTCTAGGTGAAGGGCAATGGCGAAATTCTTAGCCAAGTCGTTGCTTCTCAGGTATTTACATTTGTTAAGTTAATATCAACTAATTTTCAGTTATTCCCAGGATTTCTTGCACATTTGAAATGTTATGTTTCATTATACTTCAGTTAATGGAATGGGTTGTGAATTTGTTAGTCAAACATGTTGGTTAATATCTGCCCTCGTTCAGCTAGTTATAGACTTATTGTACAGATTACAAGAATGCAATAACCAGCTTCCGTTTTGATTAATGGTCTATTTAAAGTTATTGAGTTATTTCTTGCGGTACAATTTTTTTTTTCTAAATTTATCCTTGCCACATCAAGGCGGAGCTGCTTGCTCGTTATGGAGGCGTTGCGCCTAAAATGGCAGAAGAAGCGCACGCACAAGTGATTGACAAGGTCATGAATTATAGTTGCAGGACATGCTAAATAGTCCTAATTATGCTTCTTCTTTTAGTTTTCAAGTAGGTTTCAACTGTTTGTGTAGCCCCTTTTGTCTGTAAACTGCAGGTGGTGCAGGAAACAATGGAAAAGGCTAACTTAACAGAAAGGGATTTATCTGCAGTTGCTGTAACCATTGGTCCCGGTTTGAGCCTCTGCCTCCGTGGTAATTTTGCAGGATTCCCCCCATTAAGGTTTAAGTCCTAAGTTGAACTTTGTCTATTCATCTTCCTGCTGATGCAAAATCATCTGTTCTATCTTGGTCACAGTTGAACAAATATGTAAGCTATTAGTTTATGTGAAAAGAAAGGTACAAGAAATATGTATCAATGATTACATGCTTTGGAAGATGGTTCTTATGCTGTCAACTTGAGCATAGCCGGTTAAAACCTTGGACGTTCGGATATCCTCCCCACATACTGTTGAACTAAAAAAAAAAACCTTAGGCTCATACATAGTTATAGAATGAGGTACTGTTCACATTACATGAAAGAACACAATCAATTCAGCTTCTTGCCATCTTTAATTATACAAGTGAAAAATTATCTTTAATTGGAGACCGGACCTATTATTCATGCAATTGAAATGCAGTTGGTGTGCAGAAGGCACGTAGAATTGCCGGTAGCTATAGTCTACCAATTGTTGGGGTACATCACATGGAGGCTCATGCTCTGGTAGCTAGGTATGGATAACAGACCCATATTTGTTAACTTGCGAATGATTTTCCAAAAGTAAAGTTGATTAATGGCGTTACTCTACATACAAAAAGTGATTATTTGGTTCGTCTATACTTTTTGGCAAGATACTTTCTAATTAGAATATTCTTCTTTCTGTAGATTAGTCGAACGGGAGTTGCAATTTCCTTTCATGGCATTGCTCATTTCTGGTAAGAATTTATGTTCTCCATTCACATTTATCTTTCATCCTACCCCCCGCATTCTTCCTTCATCTTTGACTTCCTTAAATAGATACACATTGTGTCTTCATTTCATGTGTATTTGTAGATGTGTAAAAATAGAAAGGAGACAGAATTTCAAATTTATTGATCATGTACTTTTCAATTGCTTAATCTTTTCCAAATCTTAGTTTCAAAATTTTAGGGTCTTCTATAACATCTTCAAATCCAAATATTGAATTCTATGTAAGAGGTCAATTTCTAATACTTGTTAGGAGTTAAGTTCAGTTCTTTTCACTGATTGCATTATATCAAAAAAAAAAAAAGTCGAGTTCTATCATTACCACCTTGTCAATGGTACTTTATTTGAACTATTTCAACAAATTTTGGGCAATGGAGTCCTGGATTCTGATTGTTGATTTTATCTATCTGGGTTGAACTTCATTTTTCATGGATAGACCTGGCACTGCAACGTTAGATGCTTTGTAAGGTTACCTGGTGTCTCTACACGAGTGGGATGATCGATGAGTGGAAAAGTATGATAAACCACTACTCTATTTTTTAATCAACTGAGATGGAGAGAAAGGAAAATGTCATCTTTTTCATGGCTGAAGAGATGAAGAGAAAAAGTATAATAAACTACATAGTCTGTGATTCCCGTGTCATCATATCAGTTTATTCCTCCATTTGCTGCTCGATAAGAGTTAGTAGGTCTTCTTGGAGGTGTTAATAGAATGACTCAAACTGATGTTGGTTGTTCACGTTCAATCTTCTGACTAGAACTTGAAAGGAGGGAAAATTAATGTCATTTGTTTATCAGGGGGACACAACTTACTTGTTCTTGCCCAAGATCTTGGCCAGTACATACAACTTGGAACAACAATAGACGATGCAATTGGGGAGGCATATGACAAGACTGCCAAATGGCTTGGTCTTGATCTGAGGAGGAGTGGTGGGCCGGCTATAGAGGAGCTTGCTAGAGAGGGAGATCCACAATCATTCAAGTTCTCAGTAAGTCTTCAAACTCAACATGTTGTTTGTTGCTGCATATGCATGTCTTTATTGTATAGAGTGGTCATAGACATGAGATACTATATGTAAGTATATACTTCGTGTTAGAAACTGTGTATGTAAAGTTTTCTAATATATTTTTTTTCTTAAGACTCCCATGAAGCAACATAAAGATTGCAACTTCTCCTATGCGGGGCTGAAGACTCAAGTCAGGCTGGCTATTGAATCCAGAAACATGTACGTATTGATCTGGAACATGCATAGTACAAAAATTCAAGTTTATAAAATTTATTTTCTACATATTATCTTGTTTTCTTCTTCCTCCCTTCTAATAGCAATGCTGAATCACATATAATCTTTGAGCTAAAATTACCAAAATGTTGGACTTGCGGCAAAATCCACGGAGAAACGAAAATCTAAATAGAATTTTGAAGTATGTTAAGGGTCAGATATAGTTAATGTTTCTTTCGGCTGCAAGATGTTTTAAAGGTTTATTAGATTTCAAGTTTTGATATCTCTACCAGGATCTAAGTAACCCATGCTATTTATTTCACAATGTAATATTTGAGCACTTAGGTCCTTTGTCTTGAATAGTTTATTAGCATTTCTACACTGTCCAAGAATTGCTACGAATTGGGTATTCCATGTTTATTTTGTCTGAGGAGCTTACTGGAAAGAGTTATTATGTGTTGAAAGTTGCTATTTTTATATGAAAAAGTGCAATAAATTTCGTCTCATCAATGTACATACCGTGTGCAGTGATGCAAAAGTTCCTATTTCTTCTGAAAGCAGCCAAGACAGAAGTTTGAGGGCTGATATTGCTGCCTCTTTTCAGGTATCCATTTGTCTGCATGGATTAATCTTGTATTGTCACGYCAATTGATCCTAGTGTGAAATTTATTGCAGCGTGTTGCAGTGCTTCATCTTGAGGAAAGGTGTGAGCGAGCAATTGAATGGGCATTGAAGATTGAACCATCCATAAGACATTTGGTAATATGAGCAGCACAATTTCTTTTATTCCCTTTCCTCTCATTACTCTCAATTCATCTCACATTTACATTTTCTTGCCAGTGATTGTCTGTACACATTGGAGTGAGAAATTCATCTTGTGTTCTGCCTATGCAGGTAGTCTCAGGAGGTGTTGCATCAAATAAGTACATTAGGACTCGACTTACCGAGGTCGTCAGGAAGAAGGGCCTGCAGCTTGTCTGCCCTCCTCCCAGTCTCTGCACTGATAATGGTACAATAATTCATGTTGATGTAGAGCCTTTTGCTCAACTTCGGGATGGGCGTGATATTGATGATAAAAGGTGTATATTATTGTGTCAGTTAGAGTAATTGAATGGACAGTTTAGAACCTGTGACATCAAAGTAAACTGACATGAACAGTGAATTTGAGTTAGGAGCCATTTGGGTGTTTGAACCCCAAACTCACAAACACTAAAAGCCTCAAATCAATTTCAACTCTAAGATTTAGGTTAGACACAGATTGCCTTACGATTGAAACTCTATAATAAGTTGAAACTCTATAATAAGTTCCTTGGTCGAAGAGTCGAAAACTCCACGATAGGATGATCAAATATACTTGAATGCTTAGATTTAGGTTAGACACAGATTGCCTTAAAGATTGAAACTCCCGAACAAGTTCCTTGGTACAAGAGTCGAAAACTCCTCAACATAGGATGATCAATTGTTATTGGCATGTAACTCAAGACATTAATTGCAAAAAGGTCCAGAAGCTCTTGGCTAACTCAAAAAGAAAAGTTCAAAAGGCTAAATCCATTCATCATATTCATCTAATCTCTCAAACAACCTAATAACTAGGCTTTAGATAGCCTCCCAACTAAATCCTAAATGCCACATCATAAATCATAACAAAAAGAGAAAAATACCCCAATATGTTCAAGAAAAGGTATTTGAAAGTAACAAAACTACAAAAAAAAAAAAAAACCTCTTAAATAAAAGTTTATCATAATTTGAAAATCCTTGCTTTGACCAATTATGTTTTGATTTGCACTGTGTTCTACTAGGTGTAATGGTGGCCTGGACAGGCCTTGAGCACTACTGCGTCGGGAGATTCGATCCTCCACCGCCAGTTGATGAACCAGAAGATACTATGGTATGATTCTAGTCTCTGTGCCCCCTCTCTGCCACACTTACATGAAATAGGGACAACTTATTTCTTGAAGCTATCAAATATTTGGGTTCTGATAGTGGCATAGAAAACGAATAATATAAGGTTGAACTGCATCTGACCACTTTCGAAGTTATGGATTCAAATATGTGGTCACTGGTGAATATTTTTGTTTATGAAGTGTTGGGTCGATATCGTTCTTTTGTTTTCTAGTTTTTCGATCCTCCTCGAGTTTACATGTTCGATTATTTCCTCAGTATGATGTGCGACCGAGGTGGCCGTTGGGAGAAGAATACACAGAGGGAAGGAGTGTAGCTCGCTCCCTAAGAACAGCCCGAATCCATCCATCCCTTACGTCAATCATCCAGGCATCTCTACAGCAACAACAGTAGCTATTAGCTTCAGTTTCCAACTTCACTCAAAAGGGATTTGCATTCTTTTGCTCCTCTTCTTCTCTGTGATATTTCTCAGGCAACAAACGGAATCATACCGGAGCTCTATGAAGATGCTGGGCGTCGATGCGGTACTTCAAACACTTGAAGCATTCTGTTAAGTTATTGGGGGGTTTCATGAGTTATGCCATCATCAACATGTTATGTTTTTGTTGGTTTCACTTGTATGGTTCTATCATAATGTTGCCGCTTATATATTCTACTGTGAGATACTCTTCTTCTTTTTTTTTCATAAAAAACTGGGATATGTTTATTTGAGCCAAAAAAAAAATTACATAACTTGAAAGATCATTGATCTTTCAACCGGAAGAAAAAGAAGAAATGGTAGATGTCATTTAAATTTAGCTTGGTTGGTGCTTGGAATATTTGTAAATACATATTCATGAGTGTAATTATAATACAATATTTATTTTGTAGGTCTTGATTTACATAATTTAATTATAATAGCAATCCTTGATGGAAACGTGTTCTATCTTTTCCTATGTTTATAATACTATTTTTTAAAAGTTTACCTCCATTATGTTAGATTTCTTGTTTTTTCTGTGTCAAGTAGTTGTTTTGGGAAATTAATGGAGGTGCACGCAAATTAGTTTAAACCATCACGAATATAAAAAAAATATAACCTTTTAATTTAAAAAAAAACACAAATTGATTTTAAACATTATTTTCCATCATTTTAAAATATTTTTTTTTTACTATTATCTATTTTAATTATATTTGTAATTTGTGAAATTCAAACTTCCCATCTTTGGCAATGCTTTAATCAAGTTGAACTAGGTTCATATTGATAAAAGTCTTCGTCACGCGGCGTGAGGAGGCTCGCTCCCATTTCAAATAAAATTATCTACTATTATATTTCATTTTGAGAATTTCTTGTGGATCAAGTTATAATCAAATGATCATAAATAATTTCTTATTAAATATTTTAAAAAATAACTTCATAATTTAATGTGTAATAAAAAGAGAGACAAAAAATCTCGTTTATTGATTAGAAAAAAAAAACACTTGTACTTGAAGGAAAGAAAAAAAAAGCACTCAATTTCAACGTAAATAATTTCGGCGGCAGTGGCTGTGCCTCTGCGCGCGCGCGCGGAAAATGCACTTCCCCTAGTGTCACTCCGACTTCGAGAATAGGCAAAAATGGAGGTGGGCAGATTACCGATCTCAGCGACGCTGCGAGGTAAACTGATTTCAGCAGGCTATACTTCTCTCTCCTCTCTCGCTTCCATATTGCCTTCCGACCTTTCTCGAGGTATTATCACTCAACGAACGAACTTGCTGTTCAACATATATTTTTCGCTTTAAATTCTTAGGTTTATCGTTCCTCTGAGGATTTTTGTTCATTTATTGTCTTTCTGTAGATGTATGTCTGTTATTTTGTCTTGTTTAGTTAATCCGATGAACGAGTCCTTGATTAAGGAAGTTGAAATTAGAGTACACCGGCTTTGAATCTGTGTGTCTGCCATTTCCGATTATTGCATCATACGGACGAATTGCATTGCTGAAAATCTGAACGTCTTAAGCTGATTTTATGTAAGAAAAATAGCATTTCCGCAATCATGAAGAGAACGAGAAGTAGGAAAGGACTCTTGAGATTTGAGAGTCTGAAATTGTGGCAATAAATGAGTTTTTTGACTGTCTTCTTAATGATGTTAATTATCCAACAGACTTCGATAGATTAGATTAGATTTGTGTTCAATTTCGGACATCAATGAATTTTATGTCCCTGTATATTTCTGTTGAAATTTATCAAACAGTTTTGATGACTAAACTATCTGGGGCCTTGCTTCTTTCGTCCTATAACTCCATTTTGAAGTCTAGGAATTTGAAAAGTTTCCATGCTTGCGTTAATACATCTTGTTATCTTGGTCCTTCTTAATTAAAGAGGATGTTTCTTTAACTTTAACTACCTTCTCAGGTAATGTTTTTAGTATTTACTATAAGTTGCCAATCAGTCACTCATTTCTGCCAGACAAGGAATCTATTTGAACTTCAATCTTCTCAACATCCCTTGTTAAAACAAACAAATAATATATATTTTCCTTCGATCTTAAATAATGATTGGATGGAAGCATGATATGTTTCTTCATTAGCAGTAACCCAAAATTCACCAAAGCGACAATTTTTCTTGAGAATGAGCTTGTCTCGGGGTTTTTCCTGTTGTCATTCAACAATGTGTGTTATATGTGTTTCCCTTAATCTCATGTATGCACTTATGTTCACCTTTTCTGCTCAATTACAGCTGTTTTTTTTTCCAACTTTTTTACTTTAATCCTTTGTCTTTGAATCTCGAGGGTTCCTAACAAGCCTTCTCACGTGATTCAGAACTGGAAATCTCAAACAATGAAGCTTTTGAAATTCTTAAGTTTGCATCACATGGTAATAGGCTGGACAGGCCAGATGGGAGTAGTGCTATTGTTAATGGTACAGTTTCCTCTCTGCGTAGTTTATTTTTTATAAGGAAAAGGAAGAAGAACACTATGACCCCGTGTGACTTATGGAATTAAGAATATGATGCACTAAAAGCTGGATAACTCTATGGTTTGTTTTAAATGTAACCACTTTGTTCAGGGGGTGGAGAAATCTGTGGATTATGTTTGGGATATCGTTAGATTTAACACTTCTTTATGGGGTTCGGTTTCTAAGCCCTTTTGTAATTATTCGCTAGGCCTTATTCTTTTAGATTGGAGTCCTTTTCTGTAGGGGATCTCCTCTTTCAGGGCTGTTTTTTTTTATGCTCTTTTGTAGGCTTTTTTTGTAGCTCTTGTATATTTTTCATTATTCTCAATGAAAGTATTGTTTCTCATAAAAAAAATGTAATCACTTTGTTGGATCTGAAAGTTTCTTCATCAAAGATGAGTACTTCACAGTTATTGGAAATTTTATCATATGCATGTTCCAATTTATGAAGCTTCAACCGTGTTTCACGTAAATGATAAAACTGTTATTGCAACTTATATTCATAGCAGTTACTTCCATTAATTGGGTATGAAATATCTGTGTGTATCTTGTTTTTTTGCCAAGCGATTTTTTCCTTATTCAATCAATCTCTCTAGTTGTCCAATAACCTTAATATAGCTGGAAAATACTTTATCAGAAGTGTAAATATCTTATGATGTACCTTGATCTGCTCATTTTCTATAGCATAGCTGTTTTATAGATTTATTTAGTACCAGTAGATTGATCTAAATCCTGCGTCTGGTCTGTTTAAAATATCTTTCACATTTAATTATTTAATTATCTTCTAATTCTTATTGATATATCCTGGAATAAGTTTGAGCTATTGATGTAATTCCAAATATGTTTTTTGGGTTTCTTATCTAGAACAGGTGCAGAGACTGCTTGGGATATGCTCCACAAGGAGCAGTTAGTTCCACGTATTACTACATCGTGTGCAGATCTAGATAACCTTCTTGGCGGAGGAATTAGTAGCCGTGAAGTTACGGAAATTGGTTAGTGATTATTATCCTTTCTCTGGTCAGTTGCAGTATTATGTATTAATCAATACGTTGTTCCCCTCCTTTATTTCTTAAATAAAAGTGCAAAGTTTTTTTCCTTTTATAACGGAACGTCGACTCATGTTCTTTGAGACATCTTAATCACGTCCTTTTTGTTTGAAGTTATTCGTAAATTACTTTGGTCAATTTATTGACTCTCTTTTAATCTCCTCCCCTATTGAACAAGGATTGCTATTCTTGTAGAAATTTGAACATTTAATTTTTTTTTTGTTTTTCTGTCAGGTGGAGTTCCAGGCGTAGGTAAAACACAGCTTGGGTATGGGTTTTTATTATTTGTATCTCTTCCAGTATGGGAATTGGTTCTTTGTACAGAAATAAAGTGTTATAATGTTTGTTTTGCATTGAGCAACAGGATTCAACTTGCTGTAAATGCTCAAATTCCAGGTGCATTTGGTGGCCTAGGTGGAAAAGCAGTTTATATAGGTAAGTTCCTATTCCAGATTTTGCTCCCTATTATTTTTGAAATTTTTGCTGGCAATCTATAGTTGCAATCTAGTTAGGAACATGGCTTTCCTTGATGTTTAGATACAGAGGGGAGCTTTATGGTGGAGCGTGCTGCTCAAATTGCTGAAGCATGTATAGAAGATATGTCAGATTACAGTGTCTTACTAAAGAAGAATGCAATACCTCATCAAATTCAAATCCAACCAAAGGATATCTTGGAAAACATATTTTACTTTCGTGTCTGTAGCTATACAGAGCAGATTGCTCTAATAAATTATCTGGACAAGTTCATTACTGAGCACAAAGATGTAAGTAGAACTTTCTTTTTAACCCAAATTATTCAGCGTCTATAAAAATAATTTGTATGTGCATTGTTCCGGTCTTTCAAGTTTGTCTTGTATTGTTACATTGCTTAACGATGCAACTTGAAAGCTTTCTTGTTTTCTTTGGAGTACAATTTTCCTTTTCTTGATTTAGATATGTCATTTATCTTAATGAAAAGTGCAGTTTCGTATAAAAAAAAAGATATGTAAAATTTTTTACGAGTTACAACCTTTTTTCCTACATTTTGTTTGTTGGCCTTTAGTTCAAGTGTTCTTCTAATTACTTATATTTCTTTGCAGGTTAAGGTTGTCATAGTTGATAGTGTGACATTTCATTTCCGCCAAAATTTTGATGACTTGGCCCTTAGAACACGATTGCTCAGTGGAATGGCTCTTAAGTTGATGAAGCTTGCCAAGAAGTTTAGTTTGGCTGTAAGAATCACTTTTTCTCATTATAAAGTTTCAAACTAACTTATACATATCATGGAGTATCAACTTAAATTGATCGAACTAGAGATATATTGTTAATTGCTAAAATCGTCATCTTCCTTGAAATTTATTAGTGCCACTGAACTCCATTTAGTGGATATCCTAAGAAAATTCCCTGAACTTGAATTTGTCTCAAATTTCTCACAAAGCACAAATACTTTAAACTAGTGTATTGAATAAGTTCTATATGTTCGATTTTGGATCATGGAAATAATACAAATCACTTTACTTGATTAATAAACTTGAATTTCCTTTCTAACATGACATTCAGGACATTTAGAAATATTTGGTTTTGAATTCTTGATACATTTTTGTTATAAGAGTTTGCAAGATATATGTAAATCGTTGAAATGGGTGAAAAAATTGATATATTTGAAGCAAATATATTTAAGCATGCTCATCCCATTCCCCTTTCATATCATGTCAATATCCTGGATTTGCATCCAAACTTTTCAACATGTCACTCAACATTTCCTTATTTCTTCCATACTTCATTGTTTCATGCTACTCGTTCCTTACCAGTTGTTTCTTACTTCTCTTCTCATGTTTCGTCCCACCAACCGCGACCACGGGTGGCAGGTGGTTCTATTCAATCAGGTGACCACTAAGTTCATCGAAGGTTCATTCCAATTAACTCTTGCATTGGGTATGTTCTTTCTAAGTCACCTCTTACCTTCCACTGTTAAAAATCATTTCTGACATCACTTATTAACATTCTCATTTCATTGGGCTGATTAGGTGAGAGCTGGTCACACTCGTGCACAAATCGGGTTATTTTATATTGGAACGGTGACGAAAGGTACGCATATCTCGAAAAGTCACCCTCTCTTCGATCTGCATCAGCACCTTATTCTGTGACCTGTAGAGGTATTAGAAATTCTACCTCGAGTAATAAGAGAACCAAAATGATGTAGGGCCTTTAAAGCTACATTTATTCGTCTTATTCTCATGTTTCATCTAATTTTGGCATGAAATTATCTGAATGGATCTTGGATCTGCTTCCTCACCTACTGCATGGAACTATTCTGACATGATGGGAGATTGAAAATTGTCAGTTTTTATTAATTCGCTGTGTATATTTATGTTCTTGCTGGAATCTTTTTTCATGATCTTTTTTTCATTATATGGTAAATGGTTTGAAGGAATCATACTTTCCTTTTAGGGAAAAAAGGTTATTTGATTATTGAATATTGATCACAGAGACTTCAACAATATTTTAAGTCCTTGTGTATGAAAAATACAAGTACTACGGACTTATCTTGCACTTGACCACTGCCCAAAATTTGAAAAAAAAAAAATTGATCTCTTTTCTATCTGTCAAAACTTTAATGGTAGTCTGCAAAAAATGTCAGCATCTAAATATATTGTTCGTGGTGTGTTTTGTCAATGGGGTCATTTTGATCCTCATATTTTTAAAAATGGTTTTTATTTCATATGGAAAATACTTTAAACAATGCTGTTTTGTCGTTGCACTTTAAAAACATTTAAAATTTAGTTCGTATAATTATTTGAGTTTGTAGACAAGTGATGTAGTTAGTAGGCTAATATGACATCACATAGATACTTGAATATGAAAATTTTCTTAAATTTAGTTAAAGTATAGGAATTGAAATGAAAATTTTGAAGGTAGGAAGTGGATTAAAAATAAACAAATGCAACTCTTTAGTTATAAATATGTGTAGTTCTTGCACTCTCAGGTGTTGGCGTAGTGGCAAGAGGCCAACACCCAAGATCCAGGTTCGAGTCCTCCTGTGTTACACTCGTGTAGATTATGGAATTTCAATTCTACAAAATCATGCAAATTTGTTACGTTATCTTTTATGCAATAATAGATGATGGAATTCATTTGAAATCTCATAATTCAGGCAACTAAATATGCTATAAAAGTTTTGGTAGTATTTTCTTTAGTACATCAAGATTGAACTCCAAAAAATAAGATGTTTTAATTGTTTTGTTATTTGAACAATAAAAAAGTCTAACGGCATAATTAATCTTAAAATATACACTAAATTTTGAAATTTATTGACAAAAAATAAGAGATCTCTCGTACTTACTTTTACATCTGTTGTATTAATAAAAATGTGACAGAACATCTTACTCTTTTTCCAATATAAATATGACTTAACGATAAGGCAAAAGGTTTGATCCACCATGTCCAAATCAGTTCTAACTAAGAACAGTAAAGCAAAGAAAAAATGTAAACCGTTATTTTAATTTGCATTAAATCCAAGTGATTATCCCTTTTATTTTTTTATTTTATTTTCGAAAACCTGTTAAATAGTGGAGGGAATTTTGAAAGGCAGCGGATATCCTACCCACACTCAACGGCCGAGATTCTCCGTCGTTCTGATCCGACGGCCATCTCTCGTCTCTTACCTCTGTTTTTGTGTAGTCCAGAAGCTCGAAGCTCCATTTCCACACGAAATATAACCGATACTCTCACACTCCAATTCTTCTTCAACCGCCACCAATTCCGCAGCCATGGCTTCCACTTCCTCTCTCACCCTCTCCCAAGCCCTCTTTTCCCGCGAAATCTCTCGCCATGGCTCCGCCTCCTCCTCCGACCGAGTTCCCCTCTCCATCCCCACATTCTCCGCCCTCAAATCCACCAAGCCACCGCGCCTCTCCGGCTCCGCTCACCGGGCGAGACCCACACACACCCCCACCCGCCGCCAGATTGTTCGAGCTGCCGTCGTTGAGACATTGGGCACCGCCGCTGAAACTGCCCTAGTCGAGAAGTCCATCAACACGATCCGATTCTTGGCAATTGATGCCGTGGAGAAAGCAAATTCCGGGCACCCCGGTCTGCCCATGGGGTGTGCGCCGATGGGCCATATTTTGTACGATGAGGTCATGAGGTACAATCCCAAGAACCCTTACTGGTTCAATCGGGACCGCTTCATTCTGTCCGCTGGACATGGTTGTATGTTGCAGTATGCTCTGCTTCATCTTGCCGGCTACGACAGTGTCAAGGTTGGTTTTGATCTACCAGTTCTTAAGCATATCTTTGTTTTGAATTGACCGAAATTTTAAGTTTCTAGCTATGGTTTTCTGATTTCTCTTGATATTTCGACTCTCTGGTATTACCCTTTTGTTACTTTGAATTTGGTGATGCTCTAGAACGGTTTTGTGGGAGTGGACAATAATTCATCCTTTTGAAATTTAGCTTGGTTTCTGGCTGAACTAGACGAGTGGTTATACTATCTAATGAATTGGGGAATTGGGTATTAGGAGGAAGACTTGAAGAGCTTCCGTCAATGGGAAAGCCGAACCCCCGGACACCCGGAGAACTTCGAGACGCCTGGTGTTGAGGTCACAACTGGTAAGATTCTTGGCTTGAAACTTAATTGATCCATGTTTCGAGAGAGAATTTGATATGATAGGCATGGGCTTACTATATAATGGCTTGCAGGTCCTCTTGGACAGGGAATTGCAAATGCTGTTGGTCTGGCCCTTGCAGAGAAACACTTGGCTGCTCGATTTAACAAACCGGACAGTGAGATTGTTGACCACTACACGTAAGAGAATCGCCATTTCGTAAAGGAGTAGCACCCATTTTGTTTTTTACTCAGAGGTATATGTATATGTTCTACAGATATGTTATACTGGGAGATGGCTGCCAAATGGAGGGAATTGCCAATGAGGCTTGTTCTTTGGCTGGTCACTGGGGACTGGGGAAGCTGATTGCTTTCTATGATGACAACCACATTTCAATTGATGGAGATACAGAGATTGCATTCACCGAGAGTGTGGACACTCGTTTCGAGGGTCTTGGATGGCATGTTATCTGGGTGAAGAATGGAAACACTGGCTATGATGAAATCCGTGCTGCAATTCAGGAAGCTAAAGCTGTTAAGGACAAGCCTACAATGATCAAGGTTTGGGATATGTCACGTCTTTGAAATTACAGTATATTTTCTGACTTAGATATAGCGCTACAATAGTTTACCTTTCTTGAAAAAGCAGTCTTAAATTTCAATTTGTGTAAGGATTTTTTTCCCCCTTAATTATTATTATAACTCATAGAACTCAAGGACATAATAGAGAATGTATCATGTTCAAGTAAGGTCCTTTATAACGCCAAAAGTTAGCTTCAAAGAACTCACTTAAAGGGCCAATTTCGGTTGTTAGAAGTTATCACATATTCTGTTATTTCACTTTTAGTTAATTGTGAAACATGATCTACCATTAGGTCTTTCTTTATTTTAACTTCAGCGTCTTTGATTGAGTTTTCCCATCTTCTCAGGTAACAACAACCATTGGTTTTGGATCTCCAAACAAAGCCAATTCATACAGTGTGCATGGTAGTGCACTTGGTGCAAAAGAAGTTGAGGCTACTAGGAGCAACCTTGGATGGCCATATGAACCTTTCCATGTGCCAGAGGACGTTCAGAAGTAAGGATGATTAGATCTCTTCTTCCCATTTCTTCTTCGTCTACTTCGTAAAGTTTTACTGATCAACTCTGAGATGAAAATAGAAATAAAAAAGGGTGCAACACAAGTTTTACTGATCAACTTTGTAAATTATTTTTCAGGCACTGGAGTCGTCACATTCCTCAGGGTGCTAGTTTTGAAGCTGAATGGAATGCTAAGTTTTCTGAATATGAGAAGAAGTACAAGGAGGAAGCCGCCGAGTTGAAGGCTATCATCAGTGGTGAACTACCTGCAGGTTGGGAAGATGCACTTCCGGTGAGTGGTTTCAATCCTACTGAGTTAGCATATTTGACTACTTTTAATTTTGTCCAGCTGGAAATGAACAGCATGAATACAACTTGATAGGCATTCTAACTAAATTGTGTGATTTCACTTCACTTGGAAACTCTTCAAGTTGTGGTAGACAAAGGCTGTTTTTATATCTGAATCTCAAGAAAAACTTGTCCTGATGCTAAATTTTCATTTAAATTGTGTATATAGACTATGAATTATCTTTAAGGCCTTCCTGAATGCAACTTTGCAGAAATATACACCTGAAAGTCCAGGTGATGCAACTAGGAACTTGTCTCAGCAATGTCTTAATGCTCTTGCAAAAGTTCTTCCTGGTTTCCTTGGTGGAAGTGCTGACCTGGCATCATCCAACATGACCCTTCTGAAAATGTATGGTGACTTCCAAAAGAACACTCCAGAAGAACGCAATCTTAGGTTCGGTGTTAGGGAGCATGCTATGGGTGCCATATGTAATGGGATTACCCTTCACAGCACCGGGCTGATCCCATACTGTGCCACATTCTTTGTTTTCACTGACTACATGAGAGCTGCCATGAGAATTTCTGCCCTGAGTGAAGCTGGTGTCATCTATGTCATGACCCACGATTCGATTGGACTTGGAGAAGATGGTCCCACTCATCAGCCAATAGAGCACCTAGCAAGCTTTAGGGCCATGCCCAACATATTGATGTTTAGGCCTGCTGATGGTAATGAGACTGCTGGTGCTTACAAAGTTGCAGTTGTAAACAGAAAGAGGCCTTCTATTCTTGCCCTTTCACGGCAAAAGTTGCCTCAACTCCCCGGAACTTCAATTGAAGGCGTTGAGAAGGGTGGATACATTATTTCCGACAACTCTTCCGGCAACAAGCCAGATGTTATCTTGATCGGAACTGGTTCTGAATTGGAGATTGCTGCTAAAGCTGGAGATGAACTCAGAAAGGAAGGAAAAGCTGTTAGAGTTGTTTCCTTTGTCTCTTGGGAGCTTTTTGATGAACAGCCAGATGCCTACAAGGAAAGTGTCCTGCCAGAGGCTGTATCAGCTAGAGTGAGCATTGAGGCCGCTTCAACCTTCGGGTGGGGGAAGATTGTTGGAAGCAAAGGGAAGGCAATTGGTATAGATCGATTTGGCGCGAGTGCACCAGCGGGGAAAATATACAAGGAGTTCGGTATCACAGTAGAAGCTGTTGTAGCAGCTGCCCGAGAACTTAGCTAGGATCATTTTATCTTGGTATCTTCCATATATGGAAATCGGCAGTCCTCGACACGAATTTCTTTATTGTAATAAAAGAAGCAAAGCTTGAATCCTTCTTGTTAAGAAAAAAGAAAAAAAAAGTGAAGCTGAATCATTCTCTGTTGCTTATGATTCTGTTTACAGTAAATGATGTCAAATGAGGAACAGAGAGAGGCATTAGTGTTTTTGAGTAAGAATGAAGTTTGCAATAGCTCCTGTATCTTCTTCTATGCTCAACCTTAACAGGTACTTCATCCCTTTGTTAATATTCGTTCTCTAAGCACTCTGCTTGTTTGTACACTTACTTTTTCTTCAAAAAATATGAACATGATTACATGAAACTGATCAGTGTTGGTTCATCTAGCAAAATCTGCTTCCTCTGCTCCACTAATTCACACAATATGGAACTATAGGAATCATTTGTTCTGTTTAGATAGAAAAAGAGAGGTGATTTTGTGGCCACACAGGAAAACAAGTGGCTTGTGTGAGTTGTATAGAGGATCGAATAGGATAATTGGATATGGGTCCTTTCAAATTTCAAGAGGCAGGGGAAGGAAGGGGCAGGTGGGGTTGGCCCATTTGGGGGAAGAAAGCTACTGAAAGAATTTTGTTGTTATTTGTGGCAAACCAACCAAAAGTTCCTTCAAAAGCCAGTGGCTGTTTTAAACATGTGGTTCTGATTGCTCTCTCATTTGGATATCCAACTTGTGGTGTGGCCATGTTCAATGCTGTCAGTTTTGGTAGATCAAAATTACTTTTGTGTTTGAAGTTATTGATGAATCTAAGCATATTCATTTAGCATGTTCTCAGCATATTCTTTCTAAATTATAGAAATTAAGTAATACTTTTGAGAGTTGTTCCCTCTCTCTCTCTCTCCCTCTCTGGTAGTGGTGGGGAAGTTAGAAACTTTATTTTTTTCGAGTTCAACCATATGTAAGGGTGGAGATTTGAATAATCAACTTTTTGGTCGAGGATATCTGCCTTAATTAGTTGGTCTTTTTTTTGAACTTCAAAGTTTACCTTTCATCTATTTATTTATTTCAATAAATCATTTCATGATAAAATGTCAAAGAGTATGGTGTTAATAATAAAATACCTATTATTCTATGTTCTTTCTAAAAGCGTGTGATTCCCTTTTGTGTGGAGTTTATTATTTGAAGTGAACATATCCATTCAATGACTTGAAAATTTGCTTATATAGAATACTTAATGATTAACTTGACCCATGTTCAAATTTACCCATATGAAATTATTAATAAATAACTCGATTTATGTACCAACATGAGTATAACTCAATGGTAAATTATTCCTCTTAAAGTAGGAGGTTCAAATCTTCATAGTTCATTTTTGTTGTACTAACAAACTTGATCTATGTGCTTTCCACGGTCTTTCATCTAACCAATATCTAAATAAAATAATTGAAAAAATTTGAGAGATCGAAAGAGCGGGAGACTGAAAGAGAATAAAGGGAAGGAGGAACATTTGAGAGAAACTCTTTTTTTGAGCGTTTGAAATAAACAAAGATGATCCCAAATTGCAATAAATATTAAGGACCAACATATATAATTAGCCAAAAAAATAGTTGAAGAAAATTATAATAGGAAATTTCAATTCATCATTTTTTCTTCTTATATTTCGGACTAAGAAATTGAAAGTGAATTTTTTTAACACATAATTGATGCCTTTTTAAGCGGGGAAAAAAAAAGAATAAGAAAAAAAAAGGGCAATGCTTATTGCTTACCTTAAAGGCTTAAACATATATATTTAAAAGGTTCATAACAATTAATTAATAATAAACAAAGCCTTTTCAAAAATAATAAACAAATAATTTAAATGAAAGGGACAGAGTCGGGAGAGCAGCACACTTTCCCATGAGCCTTATTTACGATATGTCGGCCAGCGCAGTCTTATCAGAATACTTGTCGGATCCGCAATCAGCTGTCGTTCAGCAACCATTTGTCCCACATCGGTGAGGTTTTCTTGCATTTTGTGCTTCATATTGGAAAGCCCACGACGTAAAGCTTGTCCCTTCGGGGACATCCGATAAAATTGGAACGATACAGAGAAGATTAGCATGGCCCCTGCGCAAGGATGACACGCACAAATCGAGAAATGGTCCAAATTTTTTTACCTATTTACCCCTGCAGTCCAACTTTGAAATTACGAACATGTCCTTCTATTTCAACGTGTGTTTTACAATTATGCCCCTTCTCAGTTGCTTACATTCAGAAGTTCTCGGCCAATCCAACATTGTAATTACGAACATATCCTGTTTGACAATTATGCCCCTCCTCAGTTGCTCTCAGAAGCTCTCAACCAAATAAATTTATAATACTAAATTGATATATTATAGGTTAAAATGTTTATTTTGTAATTTGTTCTATATATTTTTAAAATTCTCATTTTGTTTATATAATTTGAATTTTATTCATTTTTGTACTGATTTTTTAAATATTCGTATACTTTTAAAAATGATAATTTTTTTTCAGTTTATAATATTTTAAAAATTTTTTTACCTATTTACCCCCGCAGTCCAACTTTGAAATTACGAACATGTCCTTCTATTTCAACGTGTGTTTTACAATTATGCCCCTTCTCAGTTGCTTACATTCAGAAGTTCTCGGCCAATCCAACATTGTAATTACGAACATATCCTGTTTGACAATTATGCCCCTCCTCAGTTGCTCTCAGAAGCTCTCAACCAAATAAATTTATAATACTAAATTGATATATTATAGGTTAAAATGTTTATTTTGTAATTTGTTCTATATATTTTTAAAATTCTCATTTTGTTTATATAATTTGAATTTTATTCATTTTTGTACTGATTTTTTAAATATTCGTATACTTTTAAAAATGATAATTTTTTTTCAGTTTATAATATTTTAATACAAATTCTACCCATAATAGAAACCTTTTTAATATAATGTTATTGTTAAATCTCAAAAAATATATTGAGTTTAAAAATATTTAAATTTCTCTACAATATTGATGTTATTTTACTGTTTCATCTATAATATTTTAAAACTATTTTTTTTGATGCTCAATATTTTAAAACTTCTTGTTCCTATCAAATCCATACTTTCATCCTTAAATTTTTCTATTTAAAATCTATTAATAAAACATAATAAACAGAGAACATAAATAAAAAAACCAAACATAAATATTAAATAGGAATATATGCTATTAACCTATATTTAAATTGGCTGAAATAGATAAAGCGAGCATAGCTACACGGTAATTAGCATATATCTYCGAGTCGAGTTCAAATTAACAAATGACAATAAACTAAAATAACTCCCATCTTAATTTGTATTTTTTTAAATGTCACCCTAAATTACCCAAAACTGTGGCCAAAAGAGGATCTCTGGTTTTTGAGAGGGAAAACTAAATTTTACTTGACAAAGTCTATTCCAAAAAGAAAAAAAGCCCTAAAATTGAGAGAAATTACCCAAAATGCCAAACATCTCCCTCTCCCTCTCATGGTGGAACCATGGAGTTGGTGAGAGAGAGAGAACTGTTTAGCCCCATTTCCTTTACCAAACCCCATTTCCCAACAACCACCGAGTTGACTCACCTTCCACTCCAAATCCCACAAATAAAAACAAGAATTGACTCACCCAACTCGTTTCTTTATACAAAATATACTCAGCCGCCTCCACTGTTCTTGCGAAATTTGCCAATTTTTGGGTAATTTGTGGTGGCTAAACTTGGTTGGTGGAGTCCATAATCAAAGTGAAAGCAAACCCATTCCCATTTTCCACCAACCTCCTCCCAACTTTTTTTAAACCTACCCCGCCAGCCACTGCATTTGAACAACTTGGACCAGTTTTATTATAGAATTGCCAACAACAATTTGGTTGGATTTATATGTTAGAGAGACTAATTCAGGGCAGAGGGAGATTCGGCAATGGCCCAAGTGAGCAAAATCTGCGGTGGCGGCGTCCAGACCCCTCAATTTCTTCATGAAATCCCCAAATCTCAAAAGCCCAACTCGGTGAATTTGTTCTCTGTGAGATCGCCGTTCGTGGGAGCTTCGAGTTTTCGGGGTTTGAATTTGAAATCTGTCGATAAAATGAGGGGAAACTCTGCCGGTGGTGGAGTCAGCGCTGTCGTTCCTCTTAGGGTATCGGCTTCCGCCGCCACCACGGAGAAGCCGTCGACGGTACCGGAGATTGTGTTGCAACCCATTAATGAGATCTCCGGCACCATCAACTTGCCCGGGTCCAAATCCCTATCTAATCGGATTCTGCTTCTCGCTGCCCTCTCCGAGGTATGGAAGATCGTGGGTGTTTTTTCGGTTGCCTTGAATTTATTATCACGCTTGGCAATCAATTTCGTGTAATTGCTGGGCAAATTTGAAGAATAAAAAATGGTTGTCACACAGTATTTTTAGGATAATTGAACGGATATTAAATTATAAGAAGGTGGACACTACGGTTTGAACTCATTCCTTCATTAGCTGTGATTACTTGTGCTTTTAAGTTTTAGTTATGACTTCAACCTGCAAGTTGTTAAATTCTCATCCCAACTAGTGAACGAATGGAATTCTCATTGCATTGGCAATTCACCGTTTTTTCTATATGTAAACATATATCCATGTTCTTAGTGCCTTTAATAATAAGGATGCATTTGGCCAATAAATGGTTGTTCCATCAATCAAATGCATTTCATGGAGAATGAGGTATTTAGGTTTTTTATTGCGAAGGGGAACATTATCTATCTCTTCTCAAGTAAAACCAGCCATTACGACTTTACTTGAACAAGTGGCTTTACTTAAACAAGATGTGTTCTATAGGTTATACAACTGTGTCCTTGAGTTCTAAGTAAAACCAGCCATTACCGAACAATCTAGGAAAGGTAGCCTTCTGTTTTACATATCTTTCCTTCATTCATAGTTTCTATTAGATTATAGGTGGGTTTTTATTTTCCCTTCTTATTTTTCCTTTTCTAGATGAGTTTTTGCAGTAGTTTATTAGGTGAACTTTCTATTTCCTTTTTTCCCCCTTGTGATTTAGCATTCAATAACTTATGATTGTTATCTGTTATTGATTATTCAGGGAACAACAGTGGTAGACAATTTGTTGAGTAGTGATGATATCCACTATATGCTTGGTGCATTGAAAACACTTGGGCTACGTGTTGAAGAGGATGGTGCAAACAAACGAGCCATTGTTGGAGGCTCTGGTGGTCTCTTTCCAGTGGCCAAAGAATCAACGGATGAAGAAGTTCAACTTTTCCTTGGGAATGCTGGAACTGCAATGCGTCCATTGGCCGCTGCAGTTACCGCTGCGGGTGGAAACTTAAGGTAACCTTTTCATTATCCTTAAGAATACTGCTGTCTGAAAAACTTGCATTCATGGTTCTCCTTGCTCCTCAAGTAGACAAAATTCAGTCTTCTTCCATGTGCCTGGTTTTAGTTGACCAGGGGCTCGAACCCAACACGAATCGAACACGCAAACTTCTGAATGTTTATAGGCTTCTTGTTTGAAGTGAATTTTAGCTTGACATGAATGTCTTCATAACTTGTATGTCATCCATCCTTTTCCATTGCATAGCTACATACTAATGACTTAGAAATCTTTCAGATATGTTCTCGATGGAGTACCTCGAATGAGAGAGAGACCAATTGGCGACTTGGTTGATGGTCTCAAGCAGCTTGGTGCAGATGTAGATTGTTTCCTGGGCACTAACTGCCCTCCAGTTCGTGTAGTTGGAAAAGGGGGCCTTCCAGGGGGAAAAGTGAGTATTATAATAACCGCGCCTTCTATAATGCATTTTGGTGGATCGTGTAATTGAATGCTGCATTTCTTACTATGTGCTTTGATTTATAAAAAGAAATTCTAATGGGTATTAACCACTCTTCTCATAAGAATTACCACGGAAATTCTAGGAGACAAGAATCGTCCCTTTTCTGGCTTATTAGTATAGATATAAATTTCTCTTCCGTTCGAGAGCTAATTTTTTGGACCTTAAGTGATGCAGAAATCATTAATGAAAAGATCTATTAGGATTAAAGCTGCTCACTTTTTACGGGTGCTTAGGCATAATTGTTAATGAATAGAAATCACGTTTGATCAATACAATTTGTATGCCTCAGTATTCATTCTATTTGCAGTTATTAAGCAGTTTCACCGTGCCGAAATGAGAGTATGGTGAGTAGGCTGTCCACATTTTTGTTTGTTTTTTCTTCTCTTTAGCTGATATATCTATACCTCCCTCCAAGCTTTAATTTTTCATTTTCACTGGTGGGGGTGATGGGTCCGAGGTGAAACGAATGATTTTCGGTAGGTTACCTGTCCGTCTACTTGTGTTCGTGTCAAACGCTTTGCTATTTTTTCGTAAGCTTGTTTGGCCAGTAAAAGCATTAATAGCTTGCTTTCAGATCTCAAAAGGATTGCCTACCTATAATACTTGACATCCTGCATCTTATGATTTACGACAGTGATGGTACATGTTTAACTTGACCATGAGTTGGCGATATCTGTCATGATCGAGTAAAAGTAATTTCTAAATTCAACTTTATGCATCCTGTTTTTCAGGTAAAACTCTCTGGTTCCATTAGCAGTCAATACTTAACTGCCCTGCTGATGGCAGCCCCTCTGGCTTTAGGAGACGTTGAAGTCGCGATAATTGATAAACTGATTTCCGTTCCTTATGTCGAGATGACTTTGAAACTGATGGAACGTTTTGGGGTCTCTGTGGAACACAACGATAGCTGGGATCGGTTCTTGGTGCGAGGAGGTCAAAAGTACAAGTAAGTTTCTATCAAATATCGGTGTATTATCTTCCAAAATCCCGAGACAGTCGGGCTAATCGGGGAGATATTATCAGGTCTCCTGGAAAAGCTTTTGTCGAAGGCGATGCTTCAAGTGCAAGTTACTTCCTTGCCGGTGCAGCTGTCACTGGTGGAACTGTTACTGTTGAAGGTTGTGGCACCAGCAGTTTACAGGTAAACTTTTCACTTCCATATTTTGTGTTCCTGAATCCTAACCAAATGTCTCTCTACCTTCAAGATTTCGGTAGGATAATTTTGTATGGCTTGTAAACCTTCATGTTGTCGTCGTTTTTGGCGAATGCACTCTATAAGTTTCCAAATATCCTATTTTCTATGATGACATAAAATTTCCATTGTGTTCTGTGCATCAGGGTGATGTAAAGTTTGCTGAAGTACTTGAGAAGATGGGAGCTAAAGTGACCTGGACAGAGAACAGTGTCACTGTAACTGGACCGCCACGAGACTCTCCGAGGAGCAAACATCTGAAAGCCATTGATGTCAACATGAACAAAATGCCAGATGTCGCCATGACGCTTGCCGTTGTTGCATTGTATGCTGATGGTCCAACTGCCATTAGAGATGGTATGTTTCCTTGTGTTTTGGAGTATTGAGTGGTCGTAATTGATAAGAACTAGAATCCAACCTTTCGCTTTTACTATTAGTGAGTGTTCAGAGAAGGCTTACGCACACTTCGACATTCTAACCGGACAATCACTTAACCCCATGATATTTAGTGTCAGGAAACTCATAGGATCATATTGATTACTCAATGATATATATACAAACTCATCACAAGTTTAACTTTACTAAAGTGTGACAAAGTCTTGGGGAGTAATGGACCACGTTTGATCATGATCTTGAACACCTTCCATTGAGTTTCTTTACATGTATGTATTTCAGTTGCAAGTTGGAGAGTAAAGGAGACGGAACGGATGATCGCCATTTGCACAGAGCTCAGAAAGGTTAGTTTGTAGTTTCCCTCAATTCCCTCGAATGTCTTTTACCTCGTCTTTCGACTACTCTTGTAGATCGTTTTTTTTTTTTTTGCATAACGTTTTACGTTATTTTGCAGCTTGGAGCAACAGTTGAAGAAGGTCCAGATTACTGCATAATCACTCCACCGGAGAAACTAAATGTGACAGCCATAGACACATATGACGATCACAGAATGGCCATGGCATTCTCCCTCGCAGCCTGTGCAGATGTTCCAGTCACAATTAAGGATCCCGGTTGCACCCGGAAAACGTTCCCCGACTACTTCGAAGTGCTCCAGAAGTTCGTCAAGCACTGAACCAATCGAGAAATCGAGAGGTAACAGCTGTTTTATTACTACTGCCAAAGCAGCAAGGAGGTTATTTAGTACTACTTGGTATATCCTGAGAGCTTTTAGCTGATTTTGGAACTTTGAGACAGTGGATCCAATTTGTACTTACTCTCCACTTTTGTTGTCAACTACCCTCCAACATTTGCCATCTTTATTATTGTATTCATATGTTTTTTCCCTACCTCTTGAAAAAATAAACATAAATTATGAATGTTAGAGTTCTCTATCTTTAAATCATTTTGAGTCTCTTTAGAAGCTGAGAAAATGAGGAGCTCCTAAGGCGCAGCCTAGGTGACAAAAGTTTGGGGTTTCATGATCATACTGGCTTAGAGATCTCAGGTTCGATCTCAAGTTCGAATCTTCTGATGAGTTTAATACAAAAAAATCTTGATGTCTCTTGGGTTCGGCCTTGAGGCGGGCGCGAGTGCTCTTTGGTATGGTGACTCTCGGTTGTAAAAAAAAAGGTAAAAGGCTCTGAGAAAATGAGAGTTTTTAGAAGGCAAGTTTTGAGTTTGTGTTTTCGTGTGAAAAACAAGGGATGTGATCCTCATTAATGGTGAAGTTTCAGGGTTGTGAAGTTTCGGGGTTGTGCTTTTCTTAGAGATGCTGTTATTCACTCACAAAATCTCATGATGAAGAAAGGCTTCAGCTCATAAACATAATAATTAGAAGTGTGAGATACAAATTATGAAGAGTTGTAAAGAATGAAGATGCTGTTTTTTTGCCTTCATTTGAAGCTTGCTTTGCACCGCCATTGAAATAGGATCTCTTTCTTTCACATGAGTTTGTCCCCCATGGATTATCCATGGCATTAACTCATTGCTGAGCTCTCTCTCTCTCTCTCTCTCTAGAGAGTAGAAAGAGGAGAGAGATTTTGAATTTTCCCACGTTGAAGAAAACTAAATCCAGCTAATAAACATGTTGGATCTTTCTGTACGTCGATTATTACCAGGAAAATATATGAGCCACAAATTTCCACACATGAATAAAATATCTCTTCCTCCATGTCAGAGAGAGAGAGCTCAAAAAATGGTCTCCTTCTCTCTCTCTCTCTCTCTCACAACTTTGGCAAAAAAATGAGAGGAGGGAGAGAGAGCTCAAAAGGGTCTCTCTGTAAAAACTTTGACCAAAAACTATGAAATCTCTCTCTATCAATTTTGGGCAAAAACAATGAGAAGGAAGAGAGGGAAACCTCCATTGTTCTTGACAGTCGTTATCATGAATCATCCATTCCCAAAGTTCCATTTCTTTTTTTAAGAGACAAAAATTGCATTAACCAATTAAAATGAATATTTTTTACAGTTCTTTGTTTTTTTTTTTTAAATATGAAACTTTAATTTTCTACTTGTCTAATTCAACGGGATGTTGATGGCGGGAAAGGAAATTTTGCAGGAATTGGGGATCATGAATCATCATAGGGATCGGGTTCTTCATCAGAATTTTGTCTTTGTTTATTCTTTTATTTTTAAAATTATTTCTCAATTAAACATTTTTCTAAGGAATTTTTTAATTAATTAATTAATTTTTTAATTATAAAACTTTATTTACATGGTCTAATCCTCTAGTATATATTTGGTATTTATAAAATAATATGGTTTTTTTTAGTATAGGAAAATATAGAGGGAATAATAACATTTTTTTAGTGTATATATATAAAAGCGAGGCAGAGTGGAGAATAGGGACGGAATGCATTCCTCATCTTTGTCCCCATTGAGGTGACGGGAAAAAACTTTCTCCATCTTCCCTCCATAGAGAATTTAGACGTAGATGCACCCCGCAGGACCTCATCTCTACGGGAAAAGCGAACATCCCTATTCAACGATGGTCCGTAGAAGACGTGTGCTGTTTATGTTTTTTTTTTTTTTTACTCCAAAGAAAAAATTGAAAGATCCAATGAGAAAAGCCTCGTGGGTTTTAATAAAGAGAGTACATTGAACGGTGAAAATTTAGGACTTGAAAAAAGAGCCATTAAATCCATCTTAAAGTCATTCATAGACAACAAGATCTCTTCTGTTAAAAGCTTCCAATTTTGTTCCAATTCCAAAGTCGACTCCTCGTGGGGGAATTTAGTGACTATTCTGCCCCGTTTTAGGGACTCCCCGATATTTTGTTTTAGTCACTAAATTTTACACAAAAAAAATTATTCCATTCAACAAAAATATAAATCCATTTTAAAAGTAATACTTAACTTACTACATGATTGAAAAAAATGATCAACCATGATCGAAAAGATTTTTTTTTATAAAAATTGAGAGAATAAATCATATATTTAAAAGTTTAAGAATCAAAATCAAGGTCCGAAACTTCGTAAATCGTTGAAAAAAGGACAATTTTCTTGTCATTCTTCTGAATGATTGGAAAAATGAAAAACTCCTATCTAAGTATATCATCAAAATTCCACCCCAAGTGAAGAAATCTCTAATTTAATAGCAATCCTTAAAAAAAGGGGCAAAAAATGTGAGATTTTTGAGAAGGGAAATGCCAAATGGGATCCCAAATTCAAGGCCATCCCAACAAATTCAACTGAAAGTTCATAAATGGAAAATGGTTATTTTTCCTTGTTCCCCTGATTTTGAGAGGGAAAAGAGGAAGAAAAAAAAAACCCAAAAAAATTCTCTTGTTTTTCAACCCCCTTTAAGCACAATTTCTTTCTTGATCTTCCATTGTTCAAACGTTAAAAGCTGTTTCTTCCATTAGTCAACAATGGTTAATCGTAAATGATCTTCCCCCATTCTCTCTCTCTCTCTCTCTCTATCTCTGCGGCTATAAACCCAAAAACAAGAGACCTCACCGCCAAATCTTCCTCCAAGAAACCAGAAGATTCTCCCATTGAAAAGTGGTGGAAGAACAAAGGCGACCCACTTCCCCTTTTTCCCTTATCCTCAGCCCCACCGTCGATGCCGGAAGATTTTCGTCGGACCAGTTGCAGAAACCCTAGCCATTTGAGTTTTTGATTACTCCCATTTTCGAGTTTTCTGTTGAAAGCCGAGGGAAATTGAATCTGGGTGCGTCGATTTTCCCACATTTTCCCGAGGAAAAAGAAAAATGTCCCATCTCGATAACATTCCTTCGACTCCGGGGAAGTTTAAGATGGAGAAATCGCCGTACATTCACAGACTCCGGTGGCATTCTTCGCTCACGAAGCTCACATTCTGGTCCTTGGTCTTCCTCGGCTCGATCTTGATCTTCTTCTTCCGATCGCCGTCGTCGTCGCCGCTCTCGTCCGATCCTTCCCGCCGATCGCTCAGCACCTACGATTGGGGCGGACCCGCTTGGGAGAAACGCGTCCGCAACTCCGCCCGAGTCCGCTCTCGCAATGGGATTTCCGTCCTCGTCACCGGCGCCGCCGGATTCGTCGGAACCCATGTCTCGGTGGCGCTGAAGCGCCGCGGCGATGGCGTGCTCGGCCTGGACAATTTCAACAACTACTACGAGCAATCCCTAAAACGCGCCCGCCAAGCCCTTTTGGAGCGCACCGGCGTGTTCGTCGTTGAAGGAGATATCAACGATTCGGCTCTGTTGAAGAAGCTTTTTGAAGTGGTTCCGTTCACCCATGTGATGCATTTGGCCGCTCAGGCCGGCGTCAGGTACGCCATGGAAAATCCAAGCTCTTATGTCCATAGCAACATTGCTGGTCTTGTTAGTCTTTTGGAAGTCTGTAAATCTGCAAATCCACAGCCTGCAATTGTTTGGGCATCTTCTAGCTCGGTTTATGGATTGAATACTAAAGTACCCTTCTCGGAAAAGGACCGAACCGATCAACCGGCGAGTCTTTACGCGGCGACAAAGAAGGCCGGAGAAGAAATTGCACATACTTATAATCATATCTATGGACTTTCATTAACAGGGCTGCGGTTCTTCACTGTTTATGGACCTTGGGGAAGGCCTGACATGGCTTATTTCTTCTTCACTAGAGATATCTTGAAGGGGAAGTCAATTCCCATCTTTGAAGGAGCTGATCATGGCACAGTGGCTAGAGATTTCACCTACATTGATGACATTGTTAAGGGTTGTTTGGCAGCTTTGGACACTTCTGAGAAGAGCACTGGCAGTGGGGGGAAGAAGAAAGGACCGGCACAGCTTCGGGTTTTCAATTTGGGGAATACGTCCCCGGTACCGGTTAAGGATCTTGTGAGCATTTTGGAAAAGCTCTTGAAGACGAAGGCAAAGAGGAACATTATGAAGTTGCCAAGGAATGGGGATGTTCAGTTTACTCATGCCAATATCAGCTATGCTCAGAGGGAACTTGGATACAAGCCAACGACGGATCTGCAGACTGGGTTGAAGAAGTTCGTCCGGTGGTATCTGAATTATTATTCGCAAGGGAAGAAGGCTGCTGGCTAGCGGGATTGTTCGGGCGTTTACACGGTAGGCTACTTTGATTCTTGTTCATTATGATTCGTATGATTGGTTGGTTTGACGTTTCTATGTTCATTGCTATGATTGTCTTTCAATTTATATTAATGGAATGACATACAAAGGAGGAACCTTTTACTACTCCCATCAATGAAGTTTTTGTCGTTCGATCAATATTGCTTACCGAGAACTTCGAAAGCTATTATTCGAAGAAGAAGTCGAAGCAAATCCTTTCCCCTTTTGTTGACTGAATGTAATTGTTGTAGCTCTTCACAATTGTAGAATTTTTATGACTGATAAAGCCATCTCATGATTTGTGGACCTGTATCAATGCTGTGCAACTTAATAAAAATAGCACACAATAGTTTCTATGTCCCTCTTTTGCTGAGTGATGATTAACTGAATTCTTGCTAGATTCTTTGTTGGTTCATCTTTACGCTGCTTTGGATCCCTCGGGTGCGAGCTTTTTGATGAAACGTGGTTGGTTCCCGTGTGTACCGTGTTTTTCCGATGAAACTAACATAACTTTAACGGCTCTAAAAAGCCTACATTGTCAAAACCTTGTTTCTGAAACGTTGGAAAAGTTCTCCTTTCTATGCTCTCAATGTTGGTTCTGAGTTATCTTGGCGCTGCACATGATTCCTTTTGGAAGGTAGGTTTGTTTAGCATTTCGTTAATGACGGTTTTTGTACGTTTTCGGGTAAACTTTTTGTGCTGAAGTTAGAATGGCAGTTCAAGGTTTAGAAGATGTTTATTTATTTTAATCTGTTTCGTGATGAACCTTAATGAATGAATTATGAACTGCTTGAGATGGGAGGATATTTTTAGTTTGATGCTTTCTTTCTACTACTTTCTTGAATGGGTCTAAGTTTGATAAAATTTGAAGCAAAAGATACGAGATCTTTTCGAATGTCGAGATACTCAACGGTTGAGGCATTAGTAGTAGCTTTCTCAATAGGTCGAAAGTTCGAGTCTCCAACCGTGCAACAAAAACAGCTTACAAGTAAAAAGAGTGAATTGGAATTAAAGTTTATCTTCGTTCCACCACATAAGTTGTTTGATCCAAAATTTTGACGTTTAAAATTTGAAATTTCAAAGTCTAAAATCTGACAAAACGCGAGTTTCTTTGTTCATCATTGAATGAAGAGGATTCTTATCTTTGAAGAAGCTTACAAGATGCTCCTCCTAMAGCTTTTGGAGCTATTTAAAATGTCAAGTCTTTGCTTTTCGATAAATGCGATTGATTAGAAATTAAGTATAGAGGTTGAAAGATTGATTATCTAAAATTACTATTTTATCCATTGACTACTTGCTTTTTTGTTTAAATTATTTATTCATAGCATAGGGGTTCAAAGTCCTATTGGTGAAGAATTTTGTAGCTTTGGAATTAAATGATATGAAAATTCACTTTAGAATATTCTTCTCTTGGTGGTTATTGCTTTTGTTGAATTAATGTATTAATTGAAGCTATATGTTATAAGACGGCCATTTTAAAGTCTAATTAATAACTTCAACTACTTGATTAACGTGACCATTAATTTCATGATTAAATGCTAACTCCTTAAATTTTCTTTACATTAATAAAAATTTATGGCGTGTTTAATAATTTGTTTGTCTTTTTCAAAAAGAACTTAACTAATCATTTGATAGGGTTTCTTATTTGGAGAAAAGAAAGGTTTATCAAACCACTTTTATGAACAAAACATGTTTCTATTTTTACAAAAATTGATTAAATTCTGAAACATTTTTAAATAATATATTAATTTTTTTTATTATAGTACTAAAAAAAATCAATTATCAATTCCTTTGATTACAGTTTTCTAATTCCCAAAATCATTAACCTAAACTAATCTAGTATGTATGATAGAAAATAAATATTAAAAAAAAGATTTAAAATTTAGGTTAAGTTACAAGTTTGGTCCCAACTCTCTAATGTGTAAATAAACTCTCAATATTTATTGATTTGATATTAAAAAAAAAAGTCATAAATTTATTAGACACAAAATTAAAAGCTTTAAATACTTATTAGACATAAAATTTAATTCTATGTCTAATAGATCCGTCAATTTAAAAAATTTTCAAATACACCATAGAGCTTATTAGACACAAAATTTGAAGTTCAAATTCAACGACTTATTAAACAGTTTTAAGTTCATAAACTTGCCCAACACAAAATTGAACCTTTAAATTTTTATTAGACATTTTTTTCCTAGACTAAATTTGTAATTCAATCTAAATTTTGAAACCTAACTTGCACCGGTGGTAAAAAGTCAAGCATATGGAATTTGATCTCAACGGTCAGATGACGGATTATGAGGAACATCAGACGCATCGACGATTAAGGAAAGAGGAGTGGGAGGTGGCCCACGGGTAGTACCGTAGACGCGCACACAGGGTAGCGAAATTGAGCTTCTCAGAAATCCCACATCGATAAGAGTTGGAAAGCACAAGGCAAGAGGCTTCTATAAAAGGCGAGAAAATAATGCTTTGTTCTTCACGCAGCCGCGCGGTGAGCACAGAGCGAACTATTCTTTCGCCTTTTACTAAAGAATACCGTGTGCTCGCCGCAATCAGCGGCATACGCCAATTTTTGGAAGGGTTTCCTTCTTTTGGAGGAAATCCTGCAAATAAAAGTGTCCAAAATTTTTGGGGAATTGTTTTGGTGTTCTCTTTAAGTATGTTATCAGTGTTTAATTATTTGAATATTAATTTTGCTAGTGACTCTTATCAGGTGATCCAAGTTTATGGGCCATTTTAGTGTTTTATTATTTAACAAAGATTTGAT